CCTGTACCAGTATGTCATACATGTACAGTACATGTACATGTACACACAGGGCTTGTTCTTCATAAAATGGACCAAAATGCAATGTCATTTTTTCAAAACTTCTAAAAGCGTGACTTTGATTTATAAAAATGATTATTTGGGGATAATTAGGCATGATGTGTACATTTGGTGGACATTAGGTTTGCTACCAGTGCAAATCAAATGGAGTTGAATTCATTTAATGTTTTATGTCAAATTGTTTGCACCAGAAGAATTGATTTCAAAACTTCTCTCAACAAGGAGAATTCAGTATATTTTTCAACTGATGTATTTTAAAGCACATAAGAAATAACTTTTTAAAAAAAAGCCATGAAAAAAGAGCACAAAATGGACAGAAAATGATGAGAAAAGATTGGCTCTCTTCATTCTCTTACCGTTTATAATCACGGTCACTACCAGGTCTTATACCTTTCAACCACCGAAAATTTTCCTTAACTTTGACTGCATCAAAAATGTATAATGAGTACAATATGTTCGTTGCAAAAGTCATATTTGACAGAATTTTGATTAAGTTCAAGAATTTTGACAAAAAATGCATAACTTTCGAGAATGCCGAAAACGCTGTCACATGTACATGTAGTGCTTGAAAATTCCATGCATGATGTTTATTTTGTTATTTTGGAAATATCCAAGCTGAAAACTGCATTAAAATTATTAACTCTGCGCATTAGAGTTTCATCATGAATCATATTTTATGGGCAAACCTGTCATATATAATTCATATTTTATGTCTTGGACGTCATTTTTTTAATCGTCATTCAGTATAACCAATTTTCTTTCAAGAAACCTTGGTCCAAAGAGAAAAATCCCAGAGCATCGCCATTAAGTGGAGGGGCTCATGAATATCGAATGAAAAAAGGCCCACTATCTGGGTTGGTGTTAAAGATCAAACAGGCCACGATGCAGCGAAACATTTCTCTAACGGCACCGGGAGATAATGATGGAAGCTGCAAAATCATCAAGATGGGTGTTTTGGACTGCGGTTTTTGGAAACGTACTTGAAGAAAATGTGATCAGTCCAGTTGTAAAATGATGATGGTTTGGTGGTGCTTTTTTGCACTCTTTTTTAAAGCTTGTGTTGTACATCGATTTTGATTTTACTCGCTGTTTTTTGCAGTCAATTTTTTGACACTATTAACAGAACTGAATGACGTTTGTGATTGCCGACTTCGACACATTCATGTACATGTACATATCAATGTCTTCACAATTGATACAGTATGCTCAACACATGTTGTGTATTGTGCAATTGGGAGTACACAGGTATAAATCGTCATTAATATTCTGCCATTATGAAATTTCATTTTATCATTAAACATGACATTAGTGCTGAGGGTAATCAGTCCATCTGCATCATTATCTGATTGTGCTGTGCCATTGGTCATATACAATGTACATGTATATGTGCTGCACTATTGTCTGATGCTATCGGTAAAATCTTCAGCTTCACTTTCCTTTTTTAATACAACTTTCAGAAAAAGAAAAGGGAATTGGTCGATGGCACCATAGAATTGACCACAAGTTGTGCAGTAAAATTAACCAGTTGTGCAAACATCGAGCAACTGCGTTGATTGACCTATCGCGCCTAACATTAACACTCAGAGCCTGTGGCACACTACATTTGTTAGAATTAACATAGTAAAACAGATGTTATGACCATCAACGTACTTGTAGATTCAATTGTTGAATACCTAATTTTGTTACTGTAAATAACTCCGTTCAGCCATTCCTACTGGTCAAGAGCCAGTCATGAGGCTGATCTTAAACCGTTGATTAAGTACCGGCTGGCTTAGTGTCACCTCATGCCACAGGCACCACGCGCCTGACAATACCAGTAAGCATGGTAAGGAAAAGACCGGGCAGGCACATATGTACATGTACTAGTACTTACATGTCATACATGTACACTTCCTTATTAACTAACCCTACCAAATGCTTCTTAAGATGTCCATCTGGAGATTTGTGAGAATTTTGCACCTAAAAGTACAGTGAAGCCATTACTGGGAGTCAGTGTCCTTCGACATTTAAAAAGTACAGAGATTGTACTGTTCATTTGTTGGGTGAGGAGATTTTAGAGATTTCTAAAAGCTTCCTTAAATGTAGATACGTTAAGGAATTAAAGCTATGATGCCATTGTTACATCATGACCTACCTCCATCTGCATATGTCTCCTGCCCATATCCATCTTGCAGCCCACTGCTCCAGGTTCCTTCATAGCGTGCCCCACTAGCAAGGCTCTGTATCACGCCATATTTCCCTTTGTATCCCTGCGTCCACTCTCCGCGGTACACCCAGCGGCCCTTGTTCTCCACCCCAAGCCCGTGGCGTCGGCCATGCTCCCAGTGTCCTTCGTAGGTGTTGCCACTTGGCCAGGTGTAGACTCCTGTCACCTCAAAGCCGTAGTGCCAGGACCCGCAGTACTCCCCCTTGCCCTTGGGCCCCGTGCACACCCCATGGCCGTGAGCCTTGCCCTCCTCCCATCCGCCGCAGTAGGAGCCCCCATCATCAAAGTCAAAGCGCCCGCCGTTCATTGGGTACCAGTCGTTGGGCCACGAGAGCGCGATGCCGCGCACTCCTTCACTGCTGCGGTCAGCCCCTAGGGTTGTGCCGTTACCATCTAGACCATCAGGAGGTCTGGTGAGTATCGATCCAGGTGATCAGCCCATTGATCGGCAGACTACGGTGCTGACAGTCTAATCTCATCTGTGTGAAGACAAACACAATCTCTTCATCAATACATGAATGCTGCGGTGTTGCATCCGTTCAGCTACTGGACTTCTCATCTACATGTACAATGTACAATTGTACAATTCATTATGAACACGTTCACAGTGTAAACAGAGTCACCTGCAGGGAGCATACGTGTAAGTGTAGAGTAGCCTGTAACAAGCTCATCTTTACAATTTAGACAGGTACATGTATACCCATTCCCAGAGCCAGGCTACAGGTACAGCTGAGAGTTTACATGTACATGTAGCTCAAACGTAGTGTACATGTATGTACCAGTACAAAGCATTTAACACAGTCTAAAAATTAATAGCCATAAAAATCATAATAACAGTGAAACATATTGAGATAAATACATGAATGTCACATACACGTACGTGCAGAACAGAACCCATCAGATGAATAACTTATAAAAAGGCTTTCCCTTCTCAGTTTGCAGTATGACACATACTGTGCCTTGTGCATGCATCTGAAATTTACACCAGCACAGTCACTGTACGGTCCCATTTGCGTAGATCAACAATTCACCAATGCCGTGCTAAAGTCCTCCATACATGTGTCAGTATAGCAAGGCTAGCAGTCGCATACATGCATTCCGCCAACATTACCATTCCTACATGTAGTAGTGGCAGACAGGCTTGCAAACCCTTATTCAAACTCACAGCATGTGTGGACGTCAGCCACAAGTGCATTTACATGTGCAGTGAGTAGTTACCTGTACCGGTACATGTACATGTACATCTGCACCTGCATAGAACTTGTGTACAGCAATGGCTTTATCATGTAATCGCTTCAACTTGATTACTACCGTAAACCCTACACACGTCCATGTACGTTGGTTACAAAAAGCGTCACTCGAAGAGGACAGAGTAGAGAGTGGATAAATAGGCACTGCTGGCTGTTCCACTTCATGAATAATGTACAGTACACTGCTACTGAGCTATCAAGTGCTTACAGTCCCTTGTATTAGGATGGGGGGAAAGCAGTTTTCAATATTCAAACCCTTCTTTCCGGCTGTACATGTACACCAGCGTGTGTCCACTATCATGATTAATGTTTCAAAGCGGTCAATTGTTCATTCCCCTCTTCATACAGCGGCAAACAATTTTCAGAGCTATATAATTCAATCCACGTACATGTACATATGCTTTGAAGGAAGGCAAATGGAAATAGACACTGAAGGGGAGGCAAATTAGATTGCCAGTTGGGTGGACGTACATGTATGCAGGCAAGCCTACTGGAAAGAGGCTCTCTCTCATGGATGCAAATTAAAATTCTGCATGTCAGAGTTTACCGAACAGATGAGGAATTAAGTCAAATGTGTAACCACTAATGATAAAAATTTTGCGTATTCCCAATGTATTGTTGTATGTACTTATAGTCTGTACACTGTGCTTGGTTGGTGAGGAAAGACGCCAACTAGAGATTTGCCTAAATTACATGTAGGAAAATAAAGCACGTACAACGTACAGGAGTTGTAATGTTTAAATGAACACACTCACAAACACTGACTGACACAATCCACAGTTTACACAAAACATACAGATTTCAAGAACTTTATTTAGAGATTAGGTTTACCGTAAGTACAAGGGTAAACAAGTGAGATTCTTAAGGACTTCAATTCATAATTTGTTACAAGTTACAGTAAGTCAAAAAATTGAAAACAGTGTCAAATTTAAGGCAACTACTGTCTTCCTGATCTGTCCACTTTCTGGTTGCAAACTCTTTTTTGGGGGGGAGGGGTGTGAGCTTTGTTTTACTTAACGCAACTAGCCAAGTTATACTGAATTTTGATATCTTGAAAAACATCCAATACGTACACAACATGTTCACAGTTTGCAGCTGTTAAATATCCATTCAACCTCTCCACAGAGATGGCACAGTTCTAGAGCCAGTATTTTGGGGAGGTACATGTAATCAGACACTTCGCACGAGACATCATCTTTTAACTTTCACTACTGCTCTTTAACTATGGGAGCAAAAAGAAACAAAATTCAATATAAATGCGCATAATGACCCTGCAAAATGATCATGGACTAAACATTCAATTAAACAAAATGTTATTGCAGAATCGCAACTCCAACATTTTCCAAAGGTCGGGGGAGGGGGGCTAGATAAAAGTTGGGGGAGGGCTAAAGTCCCCCAGCCCCCTGCCATAATAGCACTTTGTTCCTAAGTCATACATGTACATCTACATGTTACACACATTATGTACATGTTATTTTGGAGACATTTTGGCCTATTTTCTCAAATTCAGACTGCCAAGGGAGATGGGATGAATACAGGAATCAAAGCTGGCCATTTAACTTGCCGAAAACACCTCCAACCAAATTTCCAGAGAGATGCTGTCAGTTCTGCAGCAAGTCAAACACAGGAGGCAAACTTAATGTATATGTACATGTACATGTCGTTCTGATTACATTTTCAGTAAAGTACACACATGTACTGCATGCACTGCCGGAGGGTGCACAGAGACTATCAGTCTTTTGATGAAAACAAGTCAATGCTGGAACATCCAAGGCTCAAAATAAAACCCCAACCACTCTGACGATTAATGTACATTTACATGTACACATACATGTACATGCGGATTTAAACTGTTTGCACATTGTTACCGTTTTCATGAAGAGACAAGTTGACCCGAAACTAAGATTTTTCTTAAATGTCTTTTTCTTTTGCTAAATCAACTTGGTTATGCGATGCCTTACAACATGGTGTGATCATTTTCCACCAACTCTACTAAAAGCAGCCAAATCAAGATGATCCCCTTGGGGCAAAATTTGACTAAAAGTACATTTTTCATTTTCCTGAAGAGACAAATTTTCTTCCATAGATACAGCATTAGCAATAAAGGGTAAACCATGGGCAAAACTTGCTTTTGCTGTTTTCATGACGACACAAATTTGACTCCAGAAATGTATACAAATGAAACAATATTACACCTGGCACACGCTAATGCATGTACATGTACTGTGCCTGCCATTTTCATGATGAGACAAAAGTCACATGCATTTTACCATTTTCACGAACAGAGGAAAGATCACGCTGAGCGGTTTTAAACGTGCGCTTAAGACCAGCTCATTCCATTCTCCTCAGCAAGTCTTAAACTTTAGTTTAAACTAAAGTTTGACTGGCCAAGCACACAGATGTATATTTATTCACATTCCTTTTTATTCAAATAGCTTTTCATTAGAGAGTCAAAAGAAGTCAATATACAATGTATGGCTGATTTCCAATGATTTTGTTCTAGAATTTTACTTTCATTTTGCCAAAAATGCGCGTGTTTGGTACGTCACGTGCACACAGACTCTTGAACAATCAGACTCGATTAAACTGTCTCGTATCCATGTACCAGTGCATGATTTACACAACGGTCATTATCACTTCTCAGTGGGCATTATCAAATGTTAATATATGGCTAAGTTGCATGTTGTTGAATAGGGAGACTGTCTGAAGTATTTATGAATTGATTTTTATAAATATTATTTTATAGTCATGTCATTTAAGATCCCTTCTTTCGTGGAGTAGCATTGGTTAAGTCGAAGGAATGCTAAATACATGGGAAATAAGCATTTAATTAGAAAAGAGACTAATTTCAAATGTGATTTTCACAAATCTTAGGTTTTATTCTACCGTGAGACTTTTGTCTGTGAAGAGTGACAACATGTACTGTACCATACATGTGCACACAATGTATGTACATGTATCTCATTTACACAAAACTTTTTCAGCTAGTTGTAGCTGATAAATTGGAAGAAGTTGCACCGTGTAAAATGTGTACATGTGCTTGCTTCACCTGTAGTGGAAAGGATGGGATCTCCTAACCATTTAGATATTTTATGAATACGAAATTACACGCACATGAAATCTTTTGAAAATGACAGTTCAAGAAAGTACATGGGGATACTGATATTTGTATTTTTTGGCTGGGGAATAAATTTATGATGGGACATTGAGATCAGCAAAAAACCCTGTAAGACATTCTTGGCAAATCAAGAAATAAAAACTATGAACCATGAGGTTAATTATTAGCAGGAGGTTAATCATATTTGTAAGATGTCAAAAACTTAACTTTGGCAGGCCTCATATTGGTTTATGTTGTTCCACTATTTTGTCTTAAATTTTTCAAAGCCTCCAACAATTTTTTTTAACCCTAACTCTGATACAACGTTGCCCTGCCAACAAATAATTTGACTCACAATTCATGTGATAGGTAAATTAAGCCAAATCTCCAAGGCTTGAACTTGAAATCTTGAACATTAGCAAGATGGGGGTAAGCCACCACCCATCCTTTTTCTTGGGGTATGCGCACATGTGCTGTGTCTTTTTCCTACATGTTTACTAACTTTGAAGACAAAATCTTTCACCTGAATGAGTGCAAATGTGTCCAGCTCACTTGTCTGGATTTTGTAACCATTTTGGGACCCCCTCCCTTGTAAAATGCTTAGTGTACCCTATTCATGAATGCTGAATCTGTCAATGAGTGATACAGGTACAATGTTTCCTTTCAGTTTCACTGCTACGTTACAATGAAAGGAGCTGCCTGCTACATGTCCAGGTTCCTGTTCATCGCTCATTCACATAAAGAAAAAATCTGCAGGCCACACGGTAAATGGACCCACGTGTATAAGTACTGTACCGGAATTTCAGCAGATTGTTTTAGAACAATGCAACAAATATTGATCTTATAGATGTTAACAATTTAAAATAATGATTAATAATATAGCAAATTGCTCAGCCCTACAAACTGTGCAGCAAATGCCGGGGGGGGGAGAGAAGGGGATCGTTCAAACAAACAAAAACACTCTCTGCTGCCTATGCACTTACTGTCAAGTGGCCAATCTCTGTTGGCTATCTGCAAAGTGTGATCCAATGATGAGGAGATGAATTTTGAGGGGGGGTGTTAAGTGTTCTCCATAATCACCTCTGCGGGACAGGCAGGTGCTCAGGTGATGCATGTGTGTCTTGCTTTCCCCCATGAGGTCTCGCAAATCGTCGTATTTTACAGCTTGTTTTTCACCTGCCCCTACCTCATGCACTGGTCAAAATTTCCCTGAGGGATGCAAGGCCTTGTTTTCAAAGGTGTTTTTGGTAATACGCTCTTCTTTTTCAGCTTTTTTTTGGTGCTGTCTCTCTCTCTCAGAAAATATAAAATGCAATGCATGTTACAGGCAGACAGGTAATGGTACACCGGAGTTAAGCTTTCAGGTGAATGACTTCTATCAGGCATGCAAAGTCAACAGTTACAAGTCAAGTGATGACTAGAAGAGATGCTAAGTCACTTTATCTAGACCAAAATATTTAAAGGTTTGAGGCTGTCCTTCATGTAGGTCTTAAGTTGTCTCTAATGTATACATGTATACATTTATGATATGGATACAGTAAACATGTACATTACATGCACATACATGTACAAATTTAGAATGAACACCAGTGCACTTTTTAAATTTACAGCGTGAGTTTGAAGTTGGTTGCCAGAAGTAATCTCAAGTCATGAAGCACTATAACATTTGAGTATGATCGAACTTTCACCTGGCACATACCGGTACATGTACATTTGCTAAATTACATGTGTGCAAAACTGTGCACTTTTGTTCGTCATGTCCAAGCGGTGTCTCAGTCTTCTGAATTTTGCTAATGGTGACAGCACACCATTGAAAAGCTTCATGTATTTCTTGTCAGATTGAGATCACAAAATCCTTTTAAGCTTGAGTTTGCAAATTGGTATGTTACATGTGCCAGAGGGGGGTACCTGTCCATGAATGTCAAGAACGTTACAAACACTCGAGGATGTTTCAAACTTTTTTTAAAACAATGTTAAAGCATACATGTATATCTGTACATGCTTCCTTTTTCTCCAAGTCTGACACATAGGAATTTGAAAAATCCAATGCATATGGGTCTGTCCACACTAAAAGGCACATTTGCATGACATTCAATACAAATTTCCAAGTGTAAAATTTTGACATTATCTTTTGCTTCCATGTACATTCATTGTACATGTATGTCTTCACTGTTTCTGATTGTTGCCAGAAAAGGTAAAGATAAATTGAGCAGTATTTGAGAAAGTTTATTCTTGAAGATATAATGTTTGTCACATGAACAGACACTTTATTTCTTAAATATGAAAATTAAATTCAAAATACAATTGAAAATTACCTGCAATGTATTAAATACTCCGTTTATGTACTTTTAGAAACTTTAATTATCTTGGAAAAACAATTCCAGTGTAGATAACACTGAAATTTATTTCAAGAATAAAATGTACTGTTTGTCACTGGACAGACATCAAGTATGTCACATGGACAGACATTTTTCTGATGTTTGAATTAGAGCATAAAAAAAGAATTGTTCACAACCAAACTTGTTTGTTTTCAGTTTTCAAAATCATTTTTATTAAAAGACTTTAAACTTCACAGAACACAATGTAAGTTTTTTCTCAATGAGTAACATTTGTCACATATAACCCAGGGACAGACAGTCTTCTTACGTTCATTTAGCAAAATAACCCGACTTTTTCCAATTAATTGTTTGTTATTTTATTTAATTTGGTTTTGCAATAAATGTACACTATACATGTATATGTACTCAAAGATTTTACATTAAGAGGGAAAAAAGTTGTGACAAACGTTACAAAATGGTGGACAGACATTTGCCATTTCTAAAATCAAATCTTAATTCTGTTGTCTGATAGAAAAAAGCACAAATATGTTGTAAACTATTATTGTAAAAAACTTTTCTCATGGAGATTGTTGAGGTTATCTGCCCAAGAAATGGAAAAATCAGCCTGTTTCATGTTTGTCACTCTGTAGACAGACACCATGACATACGTTATAAAAATTAATATTAATAAATAAAAATTATAAAAATGATCTGTAAGCCTTTGAGCACAATAAGACTGAAATCTTACATGTACATGTCTTATGAATTTGAGATTTAAAACAATATTCTAATTAAGTAATTTCTAAACCTTCGTGGCAGTAAACTACCGGTAACAATGAAATAGATTTATCATTAGAATATTTTGACTACACAGGCCTACTCTGGCACATCGGCATGATCGGGAAATCCGCAGTTGACATGATCATAATGATCGATGTGTAACGTTAGGGCCTACATTTTTTAGGCCTACGTGTAGGCCTTTGCGGGCTGGACTGGACCTTCTCCAAAAGCAAAACTGAGCCCAATTAGGCCTAATTGCAAGTCCGTTTTAAGGTTAAAACTGTATCCATGATATGTCATTCGATCTCACTTATTGAATCGTGAATCGCAAAAAGAGTGAAAGACTTGCACGATCAACATGTGATGTATAACATCACGTCACTAGAAATACCGGTCGGCATTTACGGTAAGTTCGTGGAGGGCACGCGGCAAATGTCATGACTGTGCCCCTAACCCTGCGGTTGAAGCTACAATGTACATGTACACTGTACATGCACATGTAGGCCTGGGCCTGGTTGTGTCCTTCCTCCATGTCGCAGTGATCATACACTATTACACGTCATATGCCATCATTCATCAAAAAGCATGAAAAAACTTCATATCCACAGTGATTCTCAACTTCATTAATTACAAACTTTCTCATCAATTGTCCTTTTCTTAATTAAACGTTCATCTCGAAAATCTGAGGGTTTGCAATCCACCAAAATGTAGAAATAAGTAACAGGAATCAGCACTAACCTGATCAGGAGCTACATCTAGATGCACGCGGCATACCCTGTTTCTCAATTTTATGGACAAGTCCATTATCTCATAGGTAGTCCGGAAGATGCACCGTACCACCTCGCTCAACTCACCCTCTCAAGATAATGGTGGGCTCCGTGCGGACCTGGGAAGATATGGGGCGGGCCTGTGAGTGCAATATATGGGGGCAAATTTTATTTTTGGAGGTGATCCGGATGGGTGGACGTAGCAGATACGTGGTCAACACAAGCAAAGAAAATTAGGCTCTGGAGACCTGTCACACAAATTTGTCTCCATGCAAAACAAAAACAAAGAAAAATCAAGTTCATAAAGCAAGTCAAATTATTATGCTGTGGACTTGTCAGTGTGGACTGGATGCAAGTTCAGCATCTGGTGTGCTTTTTGATCTCATCAAACACTCTTTACCCGCCTGGAGACCATTTCATTCCCTCAGCCCGACGAAGTTGTTTTTGGCCCACCTCCCTCACATAAAACTCAACAAACAAAATGTAGAAACACAAGAATTTTGGACTTACAATTGACTTTTTATTTCCCTTTTTGTTAGTGTACTGTATTACAACTCTGGCAATTTAGAGGCCTAAGCTTGCCTTTGTACAAATGTGGTATTGAATATTATCAGCAATAATTCAGCACTACTAAGCTACTGCACAGGAGGAATTATTCCCACTTTGAAACATTTCACACTGGTAAGATTCTTTTGAAGAATACATAGGGAAAGAAATAATAAATGTTCCACTTCACCGTGGTACCCAACAGCCTTTCCCTATAGACAAATCTGATTAGACGCCATACCTGGCAAGCGATCCAACTCATGCACATGTCTTAACCTGAGCATGCAGCACTGCAGCAAGTCACGCCACCCTATTGGTCGGAGAGGAATGTAACGCAAAGGTACCACCTGCATGCAAACAGGATGCCCCACAGTAATGGCTTCTAATTCTAATTCTTCCCGCCAGATCTGCCTACAAGTTTCCTGATATAACAAAATGTTTCATACAGTAGAAAAATACAACTAACACCTGATCTACAGAAAAACCAGTCAAATGTGTGATTTCACAGAACCAAGTCGGTAAGATTGACCAACTCTTAGATTTTTATTATGTTGCGAAAGGCAACCCTACACACAATGTCCACCTTATGAAAGTATTATCAACACAACTGAACGCAAAATTCATCAGTTCACAAAAGCAGAAATTTTCAATATATGGCCAGATATTTTAAAGTATATTTATCAAAAAGGGGTCATGATAAAGACCTGATGAATAATCCCAGATTTATACTGAGAGCATATAGAAATGCATATGAAACTAAAAGCATATCCTTGGACTCATTGTAGTTATTTCCATCACAAAAGCCTGTGTACAGCTGAAAACAAAAAACACATGTACAAAAATCAACTTGAAAATTCCAAGGCAAAGTACCAAAAGCTTTGCAGTTTAAAAAAACCCAAACCTAAATAAATACAACATATTTTATCTTGCAATAAAGCCTGAACTATGCATTTACCTCACTGGAGTACACCTAACACTTAAGATTGTATATTTTAGCAAATATTACATCTCTTGCAAATCTGCAGGATGCAACATAAAAAATGGAAAGTAGGATAAAGGACACAAATCTATCGCCAGAAGGACCAACTATCCCCCCCCCCAACTTTCCCCTCAAACATATCTGACATCACATTCACAGGTTGGAAAAACCCAAATCTCAATTTACCCTTTAGCCTATGAGGCTGCAAACATTCCCTTTTCCTTCCTAACTTTAACTGTACGGCCAGCACTAGCTCAGAGAGACAGATGTGGAAACACATGTTTTCACAGATGAGTCTTACATGCAAGACGGCACCTTCACAGGGTGAAAATGGCCATGACTTAGGCATTATGCTGGAAACGAGAAATGCATTATGCTGAAGAAAATGAGAATCACACTACCACAGCAATGAAAGAATCAACTCATTTTTGTTCTGATTCTGGAGTTAGAAAGTGAGTCTCGATATCTGACGACACAAAAAGCCATCCCTCTAGCATCCTGCTCAACTTTATACACAAACCACCTTTCTAGCTTAGCAAAGTCAGCTCGTTGAACAGTGGTCTGACTTCAGAGCGAGTCGTAGTAGAAGTTGTAATCTGGAGGTGGTGGGGGAATGGGCGGGGGTTCCGATGGGATGGGGACATTGGCTGTATCCAGGAGACGCATCTTGATCTCCATGCTCAACAGCATCTCCAGGTCTTCCTCCGTTTGTTTGCTAACCATTGCTTTGCCCAGCAAGGCGTTGATGCCGTCATACCACATGTCAAACTGTCAGACAAGAAAGGCGAGAGATTGTGTGTCACCCTGGCAGCATCAATATGATTAATTTGGACTACGTTCCGCAAGAAAAGTTAAATGACAAGTGACAGTTGATTTATCCGTACCAAATGAAGTCATCGTGATGTGTATTACCATAGGACGGTCATTACTCCATCCAACACAAGTCAGGAGTTCTTGTTTCAATGACAGTTTCTTGAGGCTTTCAAATATATTTCTGAATATTGGAAGCATGATAATGGTCCATACTTCCCTGAGCAAGAAATGCTGCAGTAATGACAAGGAAAAACTGATTTCAGAATCAATTTTTTTTTACAAAAGGATAGGTCACTTAGAGGTTGCATTTTCTACAAGTTCAAGGACTGATCAGGAACTTTGAGTGAAAAAATCCAGTGATCATTCGAACTTCACTAAGACACTCACAGCTTCTTGATTTGGTGCCACAAAGTCCAGATGTTGCTCAGGCAGATGTTGAAGGATAGAGAAAGCCGATGTGACATTGCCCTGGAGAGATGGGTCAAAGGGCAGAGGGCAAAGGTCAAGCATCATCAGCTCTGTCAGATGTCACTGCTACCATGCACATGTATGCAATTCAAAGATTCCTTTGGGAATATTAATATTAACAAGTATGCTATACAATAAAATTGTATCATCAAAAACATTTGGTCAGCATTTTCCCTTTCTCTGTCTAACATCATAAGAAGCACTGTTTTCCAATTAAGTAAAAATACTGGAACTCACCCTGATTTGTTTGACATGAGGGCAGTCTTTCCCCACTAACACATCCTGGATTTCAGAAACTGGAACTAAAAGAAAGCAAATAGAAAGTTGCTGCAAGTACAATTTGGACAACCTCCACAAGACACTGCCATTTCTGAGTGAAGTCAGAATGTTCTACACAGCTGCCAGGCTTTATCCAAATAATCTGGCTGGCCATGACTAACCATCTATACTTCTAAAAACCAAGCACTTATTGCTAAAGCAGATTGCTGTTTAATGTCTCTCCAGAGGAGGTAATTATAAGAACAGTCGTGTAGAAGCAAGAATCCAAGTAACGCTTCACGCCAGCATCATGAAACAAAAGAAAAACAATACACATGGTGCCCATGAAGCCTAATTTGTTTGTTTTGGCTTTTGGATGGTAATTCTTGTTCTCAGCTTATGATCTACAGTGATATTACTCTAGTACAGAGTGTGAAATTATGGCCTGTACTTGAACAGTTTCTAATCATTCACATTATCTATACAGACAAAGTTACACCTACGCAAGAGGCACGTGAATCTCACTGACAATCAGCCCCATTTCCTGAGAGTAGTACTAATAGTGTACATGTTATAGACAAATCTGACAAGACGCCATTCCAAGGGGTCATTTACACTCATGCAGCAGTCTCAGCCCGAGTGCACATGCACACTTTGGCAATTGACTACTGCCTATTGGTCAAGGAGGAATTTCACACGCGCACACCATCTGCATGCGAACAGGATGGCCCTGTAGTAATGGCTTCTAATTTTAGTCGACGGATTTGTCTATACCAACACTAAAAGTTATACTGAGCAAGAGAATCTGACCCTCTGTGTAAGACAGAATATGTAACCTTGACAAATGGCTGATTAATAGCTGATGATGTCCAGGTGCTTGTGCCTGCTTACACATTTCGGTTTAAGGGTCTTCACCACAAATCACTTTGTTATCGTAAATGGCCCTTCAGGCTTTTGCCCTGACTTTGAGGCGCACTGAAGTCTTACGTTTGTTCGGAAGCGTCTCTGCAGCTGGTACAGTGTTCTCGTCAATGTCACCGTAGTGAAGCACCTTGTGGTTGGGAGTCAGTCGACAATACCAAAACTTGTCTGCAAGGAGAAGGTTGGGGGAAAGTCTTCCATGACTGTGGGTCATGTTTCAGAGTATGTACAATTGGAAAGCAAAACAACGCCATTCCTTATTTCTGCTGCAGGATGTAGGATTAAAGTTTCCAAATTAAGAACCTTTCAAAGCAAAGTTAAATTATGTTACTGACTTCATGTAAACAGAACAATAAAATGATCTCGTTTGCAAGTAAGTAGTCTGTAAGATTCCAGGAATGATTCTTCCAAATGATGCATAGTTCTTCTTCTTCCTTCCTGAAAGTTGCAGATCACATCATGTACATGAACACTGACACAGACAGTGATCAATTGTGAGCCCCCTTCCAACTACTAGAAAACAGGTATCCCCCCCTCCAAAAAAAAATTCTATTACCCAATACCTTGAACACAAGTTCCAAAACCTGTCTGAAAACAAAGCACAACTTTTTACAAGTCAGTGGCAAGGGAGAAACACTTTGACATCTGGCTTTGTTCATTCATTTGTCTAGGACTACAACCAGAGCTGCGATATCAACCAGGCAGAGGTTTCACTGTGCCGTCTCCGATTTTTTAAAAAAGAAATTACAGTTCTGCAAGTACAGAAATGACCGTTCTGCAAGTACAGACCTACGTGGAACATGGGTACTAGGTCCCAATAAAGCCACTGAAGGACACACCTTTTACAGAGATACATCATTCCAGAGGTCCCAAAATCAAGGCCCTCTTCGGTCCATTATCTTGGTTTAACTGCAAATTGAATTATTAACATATAACTACCAAACAATCTTGTACCTTTTGCCCTCCCTGACTTGTTGTACTTGTTGAACTGCGTTCCCTTCATGAGGTAATTCAGTCGCTGCTGCTTAATCAGTTCCATTATCTCTGGCTTAATCTCTTCCCGCAGCTCACTGCAAGATTATGAGGGAAAAACTTGAAAAGAGTCTGTATCCCAAGCCACAATAGGAAGCCCCACAAAAGGTTCTACATGACACAAAACACAGTAAAATGGGCCAGTCACATAGCAGTGTTTTCCCAACGGTGATAAATTTCTGTAAGTATTTCAACACCCAATATCATTTGTTCATTTTACAAATGTGGACAGGCACGCAGGCTGCAGTTTGAAACAGTGGAGCACTTTGTGTACGTACAGTTGTTATTCCCTTTTGCATTAAAAAAAAAGGATCAAACAAAAGTTACCTGCCAATTTTAACATTAAAATGGATACTGGTTTTCATTTCAAAACTGAAACCGCTCTCTGGTTTCAGTCCAGTTATAATCTCCCTACTGAGACACATGAAAAATGGGTTTTTGAGTGCTCAAGGCATGGACAAAATGTTCACCCATCAGGAAGACAATATTGATAGGGAGGTACATATAACTTACTGGCCTCCGTTACTATCTTTGTATCACACACGTGCCTCTACTTGTCATTAACTACCTCATCTGAGATGAGGAAGTAATCAAGATCTGGCTATCTGTACACAAAGGTATGGCTGACAGGTTAAAATGTCAAATGATATGCCTGATTTACCTAGGATTGGCATTTAAACATGCTTTCCCATTTGTTTTATGCACATAAAAAGTCTGTGGAGGCAGATTGTGTGCTGAACTAGAATTTGGCAGCTGTGCACCGTCTCCTGTGGTACCAAATACTGTTCCACGGCCAAACCCAGGTGTGTTTAAAAATATGAAGTTGTGGTAAAAAATACTGTACAGGAACTGTTAAAATATGAGAAATGACTCACGCAAATCACTATTTGTGGCATTTGGCTGGATATGAAAATTGGAATTTTCGGCCAGAAAAGACCACCGTCAAGTGTTGAACAGTGTTTCTCTTACCTACTCAACCCCCTTCACATTCTACACTGGTTTGTGCGACAGGATTTGAATTCTAAGAACAAAAAAATGAAATACTAACACAACGGGCGTCGCCTGGGAGTTCCATTCCTCTTTGTCTGAGCGTTCCTGCTGTCTCAGCTTGAGAATCTGGGAATAGTCAAAATGAAGCAACTTGGACCAGAACTGGTCCATGGAGGGAGAATGACTCTTCAGAGCACGCTCAATTTGTTCCTTGACAACGCTCATCACCTGAAGAAGAAGACAAAAAAGATCAAGGTGTTAGTCTCGGGTGATGAGATCATGTACTTGATTCTACTTCTAGTAGAGGAAGTAGTTAGCCCACATAGCAGTTTGGTTAATGTAGTTGTCACATTTTCATTTTTAAACATTGAGGGGCATGTGTCAATTTCAGGAAGGGCCAAAAAGTAGATTAGATTTTCATTCCCAAACTGACTGCGTGAGCACTCCCTGGAATATTTATCTCCAGTCTTTCCCCCTTTATTTTCTCATTGTGACAATTTCTCTGCAGTTTCCTCTCATTTCAAAGCCGAAGTTCTAAGGGAATGGTGCTCTCACGGACTGGTAAGAGTCACCCTAGAGACCAGACCTCAAATAGACAGTAACCTTATTCTGAAATTCTGCTTGCCATTGTCCACATGGCCTAGTTATCAAGTTCACACAGACAAGATGCATGCATGTAAATACTTGCAGTAATTTGATACATCAATAAGGGTAATGACAAACTAAGGTTGTGACAGTTCTCTGGTTCTTTATCGGAATAAGTTACTGAAGTTGAAGCCAAATCTGACAAACCAGGATCAAATAGGACAATCACAAGTGGTTCCTTGCAGAAGTTAGATCCTCAGCTGAGTTTCAGAATTCTGTACTTTTTTCGTTTGTAATTTTTTTTTTAATTACCTTTGGAAAGTCCTCCAACTCGGCTCTCATTTCCTTCCAGGTCTTGTTAAAGAGACGGATGCACTGACAGAAGAACTCCTTGAACGCATTGTCACAGGAGAAGAACATTGGGTAGTAGTCCTGGCCGGTCTCGGTAGCTGTTGGTGACAAACACAAAAATGAGCAACAAATGTTACCATAAATGCAGGGAATTGCCAATCTTGTTGGGTGATGGAGATTTGTTTGTGTTCTGGTTGCTCACTTAATGTTCCCTTCTTATTTAATTCTCAAGGTCAATATTTTGATAAGCATGTGTTTTCCTCCTAAATTAAAAGATGCCCCTGCCGTCTTTCTTACTTGCATGTACCTATGGAAAATGGTAAAGAAACTGTGGAGCTATTTTTCAAGCTAAAGTTTAAATGAACTAAAGTAATTAACAAAGAATTCAAAATTGCTGGAACCCAGTTGACAGAAATTTCACAAACCTAAGGCAATCGCACAAGGCAAGTAAAAAAGTCTCCAAGGTTACTTTTGCATTGCAGACCCTTCAAAAAATCTTTCACGATCAAATCCAATGGGCCCCCATTAACATTTGTACCAACAAAAAATTCAGATTCTAGAGATAGTTAACTGAAAAAAAAATTACCTCAAATATGAATTGCTGGTGAGTAATGCTCTTTCTGATACATACAGAAACATGCATAAGTGAAAAAAATTTCAGGGGAATCATTCTGTGGGCTCTCTTGCCCCCATTATCAACAACTTATCAAGACTCAGCTTACCCAGGTCTATGATATCGTGATTTTAGAAAGAATGCTTACGTGCTTCACCAACTTTTAGGATTTCACACAAAATTTTGGTAAGTGCAATGCTGGTTCTTGCAAACGGACATTCATGTTCATCTGCTCGGCAAGAGTTTTCTAAGACAACCTGGAAAAAAAAGAAAACAGAGGTTCAAATTTGATAAATCTAGATTTATCGAGATTTCAATAACTGCTCTCCACCAATGTGACATTTAAATGGCTTAGTGTTCAGTGCATTCTGGGAAATGCTGGTAGAGAGCTCCAGCAGCAATTCGCATTCAAGACCTAGAATTTCACATGTCTGGGCTAAGGTCAAAACTATGCTCCCCTTAAAAATGGGCAACACTGCCAAGATAAATCGACAGTACTGCCCTTTTTTCAGACTTCGATATGAAATCAGTATAAAAATCAGCAGGAAAAATTGGTTATTTCACCATGAAGTTTTTCTGCCATTTGATCCCAGAAAAGGATACTGTAACAATCTTATCCAACCTAATGCAAAACTAGTAAAGGTGAGTTGAATGATCAACTCCAACTTCCTAGAGATTCTTGAACATTTCTAAAATTCTCCAAAACATGGTAAACTTGTGGCATATTCTTTTTACTTACGTACAAGCATCATGCCCCACATATCATAACAGTGGCCTGGGTCTTATTTTTATATAGAGCTCAGCCACTGCTACTCTGCCACCCTCCCCAAGCCTGCAAAATCCTTAAAATCTCCCAGTCAACTTCAAAAGATTGAGAAGGGTTATGAAGAGAAAAACCCAACTGGCAGCAGGTGATTCATTAGCACATCTTCTGTACCTTGGAATAACTCTCATTGTGTGTAGTAGCAAAGTAGTACATGCAGTCTAGGGCTAGTATTCCAGGCGGTACAATCATAAAGTCCATGGTAGGATTACTTATGTTCTAGGTAAGAAAGAGACAACACACAACACTGAATATTACAATATTGAAATTATAACCACATTGTGCTGTCCACTCCTTTCCCCAAAAAGAAAAAATTGGCTCATAAGAAACGAGAAACGTCTTATAACTTTTACTTGGATAACTTACAAACACTCAGTATGTGGCAAAAAAGGAGGGAAGTGACTGCATCACAGATATTCAGAAATTTTGTCAGCCTGTTGCAAATGTGTTCCACATGCGCTGACCGAGTTATCAAAAAATCGTTATAAATCTATAGGTTATCAAAAATCCTTAAATCTATCGGTAAACAAACCCACTACTGAAGATACAATAAGAAAACAGTGAATAGTGTCAGCCCATCGACAGTTGTTTTGGTTTTTGGTATTGTTCTTCCAATTCACATTCTCTCATCACTACTCTTCTCCATTCCTAACTGAATTTCTTCCCCTTGTTTCCATCCATTACATACATGTAAATATATCTTTGTAGTTATTGCTCACACTCATGCTGTTTTAGACAGCAAGATATAAAGGTTTGTTTGGAAAGAATTGGTTTAACGCTGGCTTGTGTATGCACCGTTGATATATCACTATTATCGATATGGGTTTGATATCGATATTGCCAATGTTGGTTAATTGGTAATATCGATATATCAAAAATATCGAAACTTTGAAAACATTGTTCTTGAAAAATATACCAAATATATCGCTACTCAGGAACAAATTTTATTAAAAGTACATGTACATGTGTATCGTCACATTACTATAATTTTCGATATGCCACGGCTTACGTTGGTTCTCACACTACTGTTGTTTACCTTTTACAAACATAACTGTGCATGTGACATATTCACTTCTGTACTCTGTAGTATCACCATGGACCTAGCCTAAATACAACCACACAGAACGTTGGCATTACCAGGCACAGTGCATATACATACAGCTAACTTGTACGTAGGCAGCTTTACCTCGAGGAAAAACTAACATAGGGGTTACAGCAATTAATGCATTGACACTACCCCCAATAGAGCGCATGTGCGTGTGTTGTATGATTCTGATGCGTCGTCAAATTTACATGTACAGTACGTATACTCTATGTTTACTGTATCGTGTGTTTACATGGTCCAGTTTTTGACAGCTAGTCAGGTACACGTAGCTTGCAATGAGGTAAACTTGCCGATGTAATGGTCTCATTTATCAGGCATGCTCGGATTTCCAGAAGAACGTGCAGATAAATGAGCATGTTGCCAGGACGTGCTCACTTATCTGCCATGCTGATTTTTCCGCGCAGTGGCTTAGGCATACGAAGAAATGCAGATGAGACTGGGAGATAGGGGGTGGTGCAATCATTACAGATGTACATGTATGTCAAGCCCATAGAATTGGATATAATATCCAACTCTATGATCAAGCCATGAATGGACGTTGGAGAGGTATCCACGGTCCGTATTCTCATTGGTACGATCTTGCAGCTCCATACGCTGTTTCCCAACATGCCTTGAGGGATCTTAATTTGACTGCGCATGCAGCCTATGTAGTCGAGGCTGTTTGGAACTCAGCACACCCATAAAAGTGAAAAAAACGGGACTTACTGCGCATACGTTCGGGTGCTAGTTCAAGTCGCTCAGCAGTGTTAATGCCCGGATAAATGAGACCGTTACACCGGGTAACATACAGTTACTATGTGCCACTCTCTTTATTTTTTCTTAGATAAGCTAATGGTGCATATAAACTAATATCAATATAAATAAAAAAAACGATGTATCGATATTGGCCAAGATACAATATCGACAGTGCCTAGGCTTGTGACTGGTGGAGGGGTTTAAAATACCAAGGTCTAGTACCCAACAGTCAAGTTATTGACTCACTGTGAACCCAAGTTTCTTGTAATCATTGATGACTGACGAGACACCAGGTTTTCGGGCATCGGAATCAGTACCAAAGGCTATCCGCCGGAGGTCAATGATGTTCTCTCTGTGTTTCTGGAGGTCAGAATCGTTCAGGAATTGACAGACATTAGAAATTCACTATTGTGTGAGGGCTGAACAAAGGAAACCTGACTAATGATATCAAAGTTGAGAGTGCTTCTGACTGCGTATGATTCCAGGAATCAATCCAAGACTGCAGACAACAAATTACGTGAAAAACCTCAACTGCCTGAAAACAAGCATGTCAGTTACAATACGCTCATTAACATCATCATTTCTGCCTTTGATTACCTCATTGTTGGGATCAATCTTGGTGTTCATCTTCTTCTCTAAGAGGTTGAAGGTCAACTGCTGAAAGACGTACAGCTGGTGCTGCATTTCCGTGCCAACGGTCTGAGAACGGACAATTTTCTAGAAGACAAGAGATTGCATAGGCAATAATCTTACTTCTTAAATTCAGAAATACTTCCTTTAATCTTGGGAACTTATTGCCAAATTCTTTCTCAGTTATTTGAGGCAACTTTTATGTCATACATAGACTAGAAGATTGAAATTCTTAATGTTTTAATAAAGTACTTCTGATAGGTCTGGTGTGAGTGAAAACTGGTGCTAGAAGTGCATGAACAAGTTCTAAAATTAAAGACAGGTCTTGTGGTAACACCATGTGGATAGATCTCTTTTGGAAGAGGTATGGTTCTGACAAAAACTGGTGAGTGTGAACTCAACATTTCAACCAGTGTACTCTCGTCATCTCGTCTCGACCGGAGGACAACCAGAAGACACTGGTCAAAATGTTGAGTTCACACTCCACGGGTCTTATCAGAACCATACCTCTTCCAAACGAAATCTAACCACACACCATTACTGCCAGCCCTCTCTTTACTCTCTCTCCAATATGCAAAGTTTCAAGTCATATCTAAGTTCTTAAAGCGTTCCGTGGTCTAGAGTCATGTACTTTGAGCGGAGGTGCCTTATGAACATCCTGGAGTAAAATTCACGTAATGTTTGCACGACCACTAAGCCTTTGGGGTATTCTCACTTAAATTAATTGAGCAGGTTAAGACTTAACCCTGGCCCTCCTAGAAGCAACACATTCAATGGCATTCAAATTCTACCATATTTTTTTGTAGGATTTAGTGGTCCTCTGTTTTTAGATTTAGCGGTCAACAAAAGAGATGGGGTACAATGTGCCATTACTTTAACAGTGCCAAGGCTGGTATTCATCTAGAGCGCTGAACAATGCCAGAAAACCCCATTCTTGCAATGTGTTAGGTTTTGTTCATCACTGCAGCCATGTTGGCTCTTGTTGTATTAAGCAGGGTGTCTCAAGAAAACCTTACAGGGTTGTCAGGATCAAGTAAAACCATGGAGAAAGGACACAGAAGGAGCTACAACTTTGGCACATCAAAGTGCTCGATGATCATTGCTGCCTGATCAGACGAACAATAGTAAACATTCCAGAAATGCCTGATTACTGCCTGCAGCTTAGCCGGACAAGTGGGGCCAGTAATATCGTAGCAATACTTGTGGCATTTTCTTTGCAATTATTTACAGCTTATCACAGTGACCACGAAATTGAAAGAAAAAATATTTAACATTAGATATACTTTTGCCATCGTGAACATTTTTAAAGATTTTGATGCACTTTTCCATTGTCCATTAAATGTTCGTAATTTATTTTGTCACTCCAAAACATCAGTTTTCAAAGTCTTTGTACGAATTTGGTTGAGACTGGCCGACATATTGACCGCCACAGGACAGTAAAGTTCACGAAAAACAAAATTCATTGTTTCATTACAAGGAGTGATCATGAGCTCTAATAAAATACCTTTTGGGGAAATTCTGTAATAAAAATGATTCAAATAAAACACAAAATCTTATAAACAACTTGGCTACTTACTCCAAAAATATGTCTACAAGAAAGCATTCGAAAAACACTTCAAGTACTCAGCCTAATAAAAAAGCAACTGTGGAAACATTAAATTTGGTGGTGTTGTCAGATCATATCAAGCACCAACGATGGCATGAATATTCAACTTCCTACACCACAGTACACAGCATTTTAAAGATGCAGATTACTATCTGAAATATTGTGGCGATGATCATGGGGTACAAAGGGGGCTTGTGGCTGTGAAATAGGTGGTGCGTAGCAAGCATTCACTGCGCTCTGGCTATGGACATACCGGACATGCCAGAAAGCAGTAATTGGCCAGATGTTATAGCCCGGGCAGTTAAAACTCCTTCTGTGCCCTTCCTCCATGGTAAAACTGAGTCACTTCCACTCTTGGTAGTTGAGACCGAAAACGGGCAAAAGAATGCAAGGTAAAAATGCTGCCGTTACCTCCATTATCACTGTTCTGATCTCCTTCGAGGAAAGGGCATCCTCCAATTTCTGTGGAAATGAAAAGAAACATTTATCTTTACATCAGGTGAGGTAAATTTTAGCACAAGGCTTAGTTCTTCATGTAGAGAAAGTGCACTGTTTTATTGAAGAGAATAAAATTCATGAACTTTGAATGTGATTAAATAAAGCCACACTGATTTCATTATAAAGATGCAGGCTACAAAAGGTTTTCAGAAAGCTTTATTTCTAAAAAAAAGTGTTAACACATTCATAATGACGAGTAAAAAAGAAAGATTATTTTAAAGGTCCATTTCATAACTCAAATCAAAATCAAATTGAGATGACATCATGTGTTCAGCTTGGTCAAGGAGAGTTTTACCTTTTTACGGTCTTCTGGTGCCCTCAAGCATAGTGCATTCATCAGTGCCAGACAATATTGCTGAATCACTGGGTGCTTGTTGCTGGAAATTTTTTAAGAAAGTCAGATCCTGGTTGTTAAATTCAAGCTCATTATCTGTACCAGAATTGGAAGAACCCCAATTTTGTTGTAACACTTAGAGTTTGAATTCATTCCTCTTGTAACAGAAATAGGTAATGTGGCCATCTTCTTACACAGACTCTCAGTTGACATGCAGATACATGCCACATGCAGTCAATGGAGTTGACACAGATCAAATTCAAGCATAACCCTCATTTGAAATGCACGTAATGCCTAATATTCCAAGATCTACCAGAATCCTCCAGGAAGTTGCAGAATTGTAGAAGGTAAAGCCCTGCCACAATACTTAATTATAAGATCTACCAGAATCCTCCATGAAATCTGTAGGAAGTTGCAGAATTGTAGAAGGTAAAGCCCTGCCACAATACTTAATTTTACGTGGCCTTGAAGTCCTTTGGGAGTTAAAGAATAAAATATATGCCAATGGGCCCCGAGTGAGACCAAGACGGGAGGCAACTTTTCAAGAAACAGAGACTCCTTTGGTAGGAACTGCACTTCGCTGGTTTATGAATGACTATGAAATGCACGCATTGTGATTGCATCGCTACCAACAAAATGAACACTTCCAACCAACGTGGTCGTTTTCAAACGATGAAGGGTGCTTCTGCTCAAGGCATGCAGCTTCCCAAAGAGCTAAATATTTTGGAGTATTTAAGGAAGGTTTCAAGAAAGAATGTCTGGAAGTTAGGGTCAACCCATAATTCCTTCAGATCAATTAACTAATAGAGACTAGAGTTGGGGGGGAACTGAAAAATCTCAGAATGCTAAACCACATGACTTCCATGACAAACGTTAATCTGATAATCTCACCTTGCTCTTTGGATAAAATGCAACTGCATGGAGCTAACATGCACTTATCCTGGCAATGATATGACACAGCAATAAAAACCACAGCAGAAGCTTCCAGTCATACAGAGAATCAATTATTTCTTTAACTTTAACCCACATTCTTACCGGCCGTTATAAAATCATCCTGTTTTTGTCTGGCCCCAGCTTTTTTTGTTTGATCTCAGAAATTGTATTGCTTCTTATGGTACGACCTGTACTGAGGCCTTGAACAGTCCTTTTTAAAGTAGAGGTGCCATTCCGAGGCTTGGCATGTCCCAATCACGACTGCTCAAGATGGCCTGTTTTTAAAACGTCACAGTTCATGTTTCAAGCAACTGCGCAAGTGAAGCAGCTCTGATGTGCAGCATTTGCTGGAGTTGAAATGCACTCGGCTCTCACAAATCCGTACTGTGAATACTTGCTTTGGCATCACAAACTTGCAAGCCAGTTTACATTATCACTTTCTTGTAAAGGAAAATGTAGGTGACACAGGAAGAGCGATGGTATGTTTAGTTTCCATGCAATGCCATGACTACTAACTGAAACCAGTCTTACTCAGTTTACCTTGATTCAAATTGAAGGAAAAAGGGTTTTGGATAGAACGGAGGCAAACCTACATGTCATTTCTTGAACTTGCTTCATGAACACATGCAAGAAGCACTGATAAAAATAAATTGGGAGGTCCAAAGCTGTAGAACTTCGCTTTTTTGATCAGAAAATTTAGGGCTTGAAATTTGTGGGGGCAAATGGCTGAAAAGAAAATGCGTGGACATGAAGGCTGTTCAGTCGGTGCAGAAATGGTTTAGGTGATATAGTGACACAACCGTGACAGTTGTCAATTGTACTTGTGACAAAGGAGGCTTAAAGAGGCCGTTTCTCCTGACTGGCAATAGATGACATAGCACAATTTCTTTTCTCACAAAGTGGATGCTGGAAAGCACAAAAATGAGAAATCAGTCCTAAATAAAATCCTCTTGGAATGGCATTTTCTTACAGACAATCATGCAAATATTGCTTGTCAAATGATGCCTCATGCAATGCCCAACTTACGAAACGGACACAGGCTTAGTGGCAGAGGAGGCAGCAACCCCAACCCTTCCAAAGGGCAGGGTATACTTTGCCTCCTGGGCAGAGGAGGACAGGACAGGGAGAGAAGAGGATGACGAGGTGGGAAAGTATGAGGAGGAAGCAGATGTCACAGCAGAAGAGTAGAGAGGCGTGCGGCGATGTAAGTCCCTGGGAACAAACAGGACTTCAACAACGGTGACCAGCTCAACAACAAAGACACTGAGTTAAAAAGGCCAGTTTTTTCCCAGTTTTCACAATAAGGACCATAGAATATACAGCAGAACATGGTAATGAACTGACTACATGCAGGTTGAAAACAGCACAGATGTTTAACTTGGGGACTAACAGATGTCTTAATGGCATACAACAAACAATACCACTATGCAAAATATTCCAAATGCTTTCTAATGGAACTGCTCTGTACGTGGAATGACAGATTAGTCAACAATGTATATGTATCAAAATTGTACTTCAGTTTTCAAGATTTTTCAGATATCGTACATGTAGTTGTACTCAATGCAAGAGACTAGTATTCAATTATTTCCAGGAATTCCCTTGAAACTTCCTAAAATCTTGACTGGTGAAAGCTGGGAAATAAAAAAGCTGGATCGTGTAAAAAGTCTGATGCTAGACAGAGTAAATGATGAGTACTCACCTCTCCAGATGGGGTACTAGATTTGGGAAGGTGAGTTCATTGGCAATGGTGTTGTAAAGATCAGCGCTGGTAAAGGAGAAAAAAATTCCAAAAGGCATAGTTTTACCAGTTCTGCTATGGAAATATTGAAATAACCAAATACTGTAACAACTAATTTTCCCCCATGACCTTTCCATTGCAAAAGAAAATTGCAGGAAAGGCAAAAGATTACAGCATACAGATTATTCTAGCGACAAGAATGAGAGCCATTACAGCAACAGCACCAAGCACCGTATATCTCTTTTACCAACAGGGTATGGTAACTTGCCAAAATGCATGCCCATTTCAAGCTTAACCCTAAAAGAGCTGGGGTTTTGTGGGACCATCTCACAGCAGGGGGTGGATTTTTTTATGGGACCTATTCTGCAAGAATTTGCCTGTCCCATGAGAACTTTTAAACCTGGCATGTATGTAAAGACATTTATTATTAGCACAAGTATGAAATATCAACTCGGTCCAACATACAGTTCTAGGCCACATGTGTATCAGCCTGTGGGCATTGCACACATGAGTGGAAAAAGTGTCCATATTTGGCTGACCTGTTTTTGAAAAATGGGCACTGTGTGAAAACGGTATGCCCCATTTTCACATATGTGTAATTGGTGTCAAAATGACTGCAAGACATTATTAATGAATAAAGTTCTGAGGGCTCAACAAATGAAAAAAAAATCACACTGCACCATCATCAGGAAAAACTTTGAAAGCGGTCCAAGCTCTTGAAGGGTTAAAAATGTACACATATGTGGTGCCACCACAGTAGTAGTGACTCTTTCGATTTGTCTGTATTTAATTTAAAGGTTTGTTTTAAAGAAACGACTAGCAGGGGCGAGATTGGAGGAAAATGAAATATCCACAAATAATCAACAAAGGTAAGGTCAATGGCCTACATCTGTGTTTACCTCAAGGCACTCCTTAAACTACCCATTTCTTGTGTTCTATTTCAACATTTGTAAGTAAACACACCTTCAACTCAGGGTATTCAAGATTTCAAACGAGATTGTTTGAAAAATTCTGAAATCAGAAAAAATACTGATAAATCTCACCCCATAAGGTCACACATCATTAGTGTATTCCAAACACTGAAAGGTTGGTTTATACCTGGTGCGAATGTAAACACAAAATTGTGACGGTAGATCAAGTACTCATGCTGTGAATTTGCGGAAGTTACACCCTTTTCAACTTAAATGATTTTGCTGCAAGCTTTTTGCAATGTCACATTGACTATGCTTTCACATTCGCATTGAAGTATAAACCAGCCTTATGCCAGTCACACAACACCACAAAAATACATGTATACACATAAACGTAAATGGAAAGACCTCAACAGGCAGCCAGCCCAAATGATTGCATGGTTTCCAAAATACTTGTACAGTTATTAAACTGTGCACCAAGCATGGAATGAAAACAAATTCAGCTTTTGTCATAAATTTGCAAAACAGATGTACCAACGGGGACAAAAACACAAAATTCAATATGTACATGTAACATCCTTCAAACCAATAGCAAAGATCTAAAACCTGTATTTCTATCTTTGTTTCCATGACTGAAAACAGAAAGTTGCCTAATGCACGCAACGCCAAAAATCTACAATTTGCTACACTAAAAAGAGCTGGAAACTGTTTCTAATCATCTTCATATCTTTGCCGCAAACCAAAAAAATCATTTGGCTAAATTTACCCTTCCATATAAATAAAATGACAGCAAAACAATAAAATGAAAGCCTTCTACCAGGAAAGAAAAACACATGTACCAAAGTACCAAACTGGACAGAGAGGTTGTACTTCGGTTCAGTAAAGAAATGCGAGCGTACAGCTGTTGTAATTTACCTTCATTTTTTAATACCAAATGAACAAAAAAGAAACACCACACACTTCCTGATTCTCCTGAAGGGTTGTAGAAGATGTGAGTATGGAAATAACAAGGAAATTGAGGGGGATAAACACAACACTGTGCCAAAAATATGGAAAAAGATAACAGGTGCAGGCATCAACTGTTATCCTGTACATCTTGTTACCATGGTTACACTTACATCTCCGGTGAACATGGAATCACATGTCGTCTGTGAGCAAGGTCAACGTGCGAGCCGGATGTTGAAGAAAATGAAACGACCATTTAATCTTAACTTGACTTTGAAACAGACTTTTGGAAAGTTCAAAAAGTGACAGAATTTATTGGAACCAGATAAACCATGACAATTGTGTGAGCTCTCTGACGAAAAGCCAAAACGGCCTATGCAATGCATATTTCAAAGCAATTCTTGTACATGTATATGTAAGTGCTTCTATCTGTGAGTACTTCTTGGTTTCAGCTGATTTTCAATTTTTTCTTGTGTCGTTTTACGAGCATTTTTGGTACATTTTTTACTTTTACGCAAATTGAGCAAAAGTATGTCATCCAAGGCAGAAACCTTGGTGTTACAACTAAATGTACTTATGTACTGAACTTTGCCCCTAATTTTTGGATAATTTCTGCAAATTGTAGGTCCACAGTTTGAACAGAAAATTCCAGTAATGACATCGCAGCAACTCATTTGTCAGGAAAAGCATGGAAATTTTATATGTTATGAAAAAATGCACTTTTTGATGAGAGCAAACAAAAGACAAATGTCATATTTCTAACATTTAAGAGAAGAATGTCGCACAAAACATGTGCCCAAGAGAAATTCACATCATGAACCCCCAGATGATTACACCTTTTACAGTCCCAGCCCTTCATTCATTCTAACTCACCTGCTTAAGACAAGACTCTCTAAGATAGCCAACGCCTTGAGTGTGACTGTGCTATCACCAGGCTGCAGCACAGCTGAATGTGTGCGATTGACATAAGATGCAATCTGATTTCAAGAAAGAGTACAGATAAACTAATGTTAGACACTATAATTACGTATGCTAGATCTCTCCAAGCCAATGTAACACAAACATATATTGTCTAGCAATGATGGCACTAATTTTGGATGTGTGGTGCTAAGGTTTCGCCTGTTCAACTTTTTTTTAACCAAGTAACAATCTCCGTTTGGGTGACACAGCACGTGCCCCAGGGTTATAGAGGCGCCAAGAACCGAAGGGCTCATTTCGAAAATCTGCAGTGTATTGGTGTGGGCTTCCAATGCACCGTGCCAGTAGCATTCAGCTATTGCCCAAATCTGCCTGTCACAGACAAAGGGATACATGTACTTCTGCTTAGAGCACGTTTCCATTGTGAAGATGACAAAACCAAACAATGCAGTGCTGTGTGGTGCTAAATATGATTACATGTAACATTGCCAGTGAGCCCTTATGGATGATAGGCTAAATAATGCATCTGAGCTACTCTTGTTAATGCCAGTTGTAAAAATATAAGGGAAAAACAGATCCTTTACCCTCTTGATAAACTTGTTTGTGATGTTCTCCCACGGAATAATGGAATGCTCCATCAACTCAAGGAAACTTGCCAGAGTATAAGCAAGTGATTCTCCTTGCCTGGAAGAGAAAAAAACAGAAAGGAATAATTTTTGAGCTCTAATGAAGCTTATCGGCCAGTGATTTTGTTTGTGGGGAGTGTGTGGTCCAGCGGTTCAGGTATATGACTCATAATGTTCACGGGGTCAGGGATTCAAATTCAGCTAGATACATGTGACTTGATTCTCTCCATCCGGAAGAGTGAATGGGTGCCTGTGAATTTAGAGGCTGGGTGTATGTGTGCTGGTACTGGCTGCCAAATGGGTCTAGTGGACTGGACAGACACTGCATTTATGTTCTTTGTAAGAACATAATTAATTTAAGGTAAACAAAATATTAAGATTTATTGAACACAGCTTCAATCAATTTGTAAACAATCTGTGCACGTTGAATTTGAAGCTCTTCACTTCTAAAGGATCTGCGTTCCATGTAATATCTGTAACCGACCAAGTTACTACGAGTGCTTGGGCGAGATGCACACATGCGGATACTCACTCCGAACCTTCCTCTACCATTCCAATGAGTAACTCCCCTCCGCCCCGGGAGCAGAACTCCTGAGCAAAAGTGATATCGGCAGAGGCCTTGGAGAGTCTCTGCAGTGCACGCTGGATGTCCTCGGGACTCTCTGACTGCAGGGTGCCGAACACATCTTGGGCAGTTTTACCCTGCGTTTGTCATTGGAAATACATGTAGGCAAAATTCAAGCAGCACCTTTAAATGCTTACTGGCAGATTAGAAAGCTTCAACTCTTTTTAAAAAAAATCTCAGATTTGTTTTTAATTATCCCTAGAAATCACAGTTGTAAATATATACAGAAATCATTTTATCAAGAAATGCGGTGTCATTAACCCTTAATTTCCCAGACCCTTTGGAATCCATCCATAGATTTTGGAGATTTTTCTAGGATCTTCGAAGGTGAAGCCAAGGTACTATGCCTTTAATGAAGACTTAATGAGAGAATGTGGTAAAATCCTCCACTCTTGCAGAGTGGAGGATTCAGGGTGGTTCCCAGCAATTATGGCAAGGGTGCAAGGAATGAAATTTCTGCATGAAAATTGGTGAAGTTATGCACTGATAAAATTTTACTTTCCTTGCGCATGTGTTTGATTTCTGTTCAAAACTCAAGGTAAAACTGACTGGGTTGTCTGTCGTAACACATAAAGTACAGCTGCACAGGCTTTCTTCAGAAAAAAAATTCCTGGGATTTTCTCATTTTCTTCAACCAGCACATAATGGTGACATTTTCATATAACAGAAATGAGGAAATTGTTATTAATCCAGACTCACCGGCGAATCGGTCAGCTTCAGGACAATGCCATTGGTGAGGTCACTGCGGTTGTCCTCTGTGATGTAAGTCAGTTTATCATCAGTGTGTTGCAATGCATAGTCTCCTGGATTGCCAATGTTGTACATCTGGCACACCTCCTCCACAATGGTGGTTAGAGATTTGTTCTGTTAGCAACAAAAAACGGACACACACAGTGTCAGACAATTGATATTCAACACTGGAAAAGACTTCGTCTATTCGTATCAACTGCTTAGTAACTTGCCTCCCGGGGAGACACCTGCCCTGCAGGTGTCTCCCCGGGAATTACTTCTATGCACTACAAGTATGCTGAGCACAGACAAGTTACGCTCACCAACAACAGGTTACCAACCTGCCAACCCGAATGTCAGTTCAGGAATGGGCCTACTAAATTGTACCTGTCTTTTGTCGGGGAGTCAGGTTGGCATAATGCTTCTTTTCTCGCCTTTCACCTCAACGGCCAGGGTTCAATTCCTGGCTCAGTCTACATGGGAATTGTGATTCTGTGGGCTTTACCCAGAACATTCTTCTGGGGTTTTCCTCCCACCTCTAAAACTGTCTTTGCTTCTCAATGTCTCTTCTCCACAGGTTTCTTCAACCTTACAAGCTGCATACATGTGCATGTACAATGCCTGGGACCATTTTAAGGAATCCTTGCTTTTACTACCAGAAAATAGCATCTCTGTGAAACCCTGCTCTGGGCCCAATTTCATAGTAAAACAGCTAGAAAACAGAAAATTTGCCAATTCAAATAATAATAAGAGTAACGACTGTATTTATTATATCAAAGCACAAAAATTACTCAGGGGATACAAGGCACTTATTGTTATTATCCCTTCTCGCTGGGCTACAAGCACTCCTCAATCCAACTCAGCTCCCTGGGGAGTATACACGTACATGTACAGCTCGATGATGCAAACTCTGGTGCAAACGGCTAATCAAACACAACAACCATCTCAACCCTACTGGTACCTATTTATATTCCTGGGTGGAGAGAGGCAATGGAGAGTAAAGTGACTTGCCCAAGGTCACAACATGTAACCAGCAGCTGGATTCAAACCCCCGACATTGTGTTCGTGAGTCACAAACCCTAACCACTAGCATGACTAGGCCACTTTTCAAAAAATGTATGTGCTAATTAAGTAAATTAAATCAGCTAACTCATTCTTGTGAGACCAATGTTTCCCTGTGCTTCCGTGCTTGGTAGTTCCTTGAAACCAGCCTCCTGCTACGGTAATCTAGCCTTGAGAGAACCCAAATAAACTCACCTGATCCCAGCAATAGAGTTGCCCAATCTTTCCCTCCATCTCCACAGCCAGGCGGATGATGGAGGGGTCAGCTCTGGATGTGTCAATCAATGTTACGCTCGTCATCATGGATTTGTTGTGGTCTGCTGGATGATCAGTTGGTCAGTTGTCTCAATGAGCCAAAATTGATGGCTCCTTTCAACTTCAGGAAAACCTGCTTGATTTTGAGAAAAGATTAATGCTACAGTTCATTGAGTGTATACATGTATATACATGGTTGTCAAATTTTTGAAAATATTCACTCAAAGACTTCAATGCATTGGTTTCAATGTGAGTAAAGTAGTAGTTCTTTTCACACACAGGGCCTACTGTATTGTCAGCAATAAAACATAAAGCATAGCCATCACCCATCCGGCAATACAGAGTGTAGGCCTACATGCATGACATCCATGTAAAATTATTTTGAATCTGAGGTTTGAGGACTGTTAATCTGTAATTTGTCCCTAGGCATTTCAAAAATGCAATTACAATCTATGTTTTAAACCTTACAAAGTACGAAGGAAGTGATATGTCCCTACATGTAAAAACTAAAAACGTCGAAGTTGGCACAAATGGCAGGGAAATATTTTGAAGTGCTTGCTAAGCCTACCGGTACTTGGAAGTTTTTAGAGTTTTGACCGATTTCACAGCGTTTGTGAACAAGTAAAAACTAAAGGTGTCAAGTGATGCCCGTATATGGAACTAATCCTAATTTACCAATGCAATGTAGAATTAGTGAGATACGTGTACATGTACATAATGGATGGAACTCCTGATTTAGGCCCTATTTCAAATTCATAAATTGTAGGCCTGTCATTAGGACCCAGAAACCCGGAAGTGCCCGCAAAAATTGTGATGATGATTGTGCAGTCATTGTCAAGAGCGTGAAAGGCTAGCTGAGACCTCAGGGGAAAACAAATTGTCAAATGTTTCCATCATTTTATCAGACGAAAAAATTTAAATTAATTCACCAAAAATTTTCACGCGAATGATGTGCGTTTATCCGGAGAGTCAAGAGGCAAATTCACGAAACTCCGTGGGCATGGCGCCGACGATGTCACCGAAACGAAGGAAGTTGTGAATTAACCTGGTTCCCTTCGCACCACGCTTTCTTTTGTGTGGTGATCATTAAGATTGCAGGGCACCAGTTGGAGTGGTGAAAATAGGGGGTGGGGTTTGTTAGTGCAGTGTTTTTGCACGGGGGGGTACTTTTAGTCGGATTCAATGTGTCTAATTCTGTGTACTTCACGGGATTCATTTGTTTTTTAAAGCAATGACCCATTTAAGTATGAATCAACCCCAGTACTTATCCAGCTTTCCCTTCTGAGCATCATGTTTTTGAAGATCAGGAATCCAAGTCAGTCAGGTTGTGGATCTCAAAGATCCAAAATCATACCCCAAAAGTTCTGTACTAATGATTTTTGCCGTTTTCTTCAGGGTAATGGGAAGGCAAGTGGAGTGTCACTGAAAGAGAAAGAAAATGGCAATTACTCAGATCTTTATTAATCCCCAAAATGAAGAAATCAATCTGCAGGAAAATTAATCTAGATTTACTTGGCAAGATTTTGTAGCCCCAATATTTGACATTCCTAATTTCCCCACAGTAAATGCCTTCCCTCTTAGTACCTAGCATCACACAGGCATAACCTCAGCAGTCTAATGAACCTCTGAAGTACTTGAACAAAGGAGAATCAAGTAGAATTCACAGACAATTTTAATTAACATATTAATAATGGTAGTCTCAGAGAAAAGTACAATTCACAAAGACTAATATTGTACATTTCAGTGTAAACTGACGATTGCTGGAAGTCTGGTTACCAAAGCAACACATTTTTGTTAGTTTCCCATCTTCTCTGATTAGATGTTGTAATATCCTCAGTTTATCTTGGAAAGGGCACACAAATCATGGACAACACATTGTGCATATCAGAAACTGATCCAAGTCCTTGGAAATGAAAATAATGAGTGTTCATTACAGGTTTCAATAATGGAAAAACATCAAATGATATTTTATATATACATGTAGTTTCCTTCTTGAAAGCTCAAGAGGAAATATTAATTCTTTGAAAAATTTCAATCATGTTAAGCACTTACATTTCTTATTTGAATTAGGGGCACACTTAGTGGTGTAAAGGAAAGATAACCAACATTGACTGAGTTTTCTTATTTAAATAAGGTTAAAGAGAGGATGCAATTCCAAATTTGGCTATTCTAAAGAATCAATTTATTTTATTGATGATCAAGAGTTCTACAACCAAAGATCAGTGATTTTTTGAGCTATGTCCATACATATAGTTCAAACATCCTCCCCCAAAAGTTACAAAATGCTGGTAAATTTTACTCCTTCCTTGTTCAAAAGGGCAAACAAAAGGTGTAACCTCAAAATTACAAAGATGGAAGTGTTGGCCCTCAATGCCATAGAACTGCATACTCCATATGGACTTCTCCCTTCCAAAAATTATCACATTCAGTGCAGGATGACATAATTTCTACCCCTGATAACATCACACACAGCAGTTTCAATTTGTAGAAAAACCTCAAGGAAGTCTGCTGCCTGTGTTCCCAGAACTTCTGTTGTGCTCATCAGGAAACTGCCAGGCACTGATTGACCACCTCCAATAGGTGGTTGTTCTCCATGGCCGCTGCCACACGTTCTTTGTCGGCTAACTGCTTGTTCACTAAAACAGACAAAAATGTGAAAAACTTCATCTTCTGGAAATGATTTCATCTTCTAGAAAATGTTGAGACTTGTATGAATCAGAAAGATGCAGACAAGCCTTGGCCTTTTCACTGAATGTATAAGTTGAGTTTTGAGGCTCTTAGAAGAGAACAAAAATGTATTTGGCCAATCTTTGGTAGTATGCTTGACTACCTTCCTATATTCACCTGGGTTACATCAACACAGTTACACAATAGGCCAATTTTACTTGAGTGAAAAAAAAGTGTACGGACGGAGATTCGGGAAGGAGTGTAAAGTTTTTTGTGACTGAGGGAGGGGATTTAATATGTGACAAGAAGTGGACGGAGTATGTGTATTTCTCACCAGCTTCCTCTGAAGCATGACTTCCTGGAGTGATTTTAACATCAACCTGCAGGGAAAAAAATGCTTTGTATATTGTACTCATAGAAGAACAAACAGCACAGATAGATGGTAAACATTTCATTAGCAGAATCTGCCAGGTACTAGCTGAGGCTGCAGTGGAATGCCAAAAAGCAGCATCCGTATGCACAAATTCACTGTGGTGTTCTAGTAATGAGAAGGCCCATGGGTAACTAGGTCACCAAAAACAGGAATCAGAAAGACAGTCAAAGGGATGAAAATGAAGACAATAAATTTTTAATTTATTTTGCACAACCTTGGAGGGGTCGTAAATGGGTGCCAAGATTCATACCTTGAATCTTGGTGGTAAGGATCGCAAAAGCTTCACTCGGATGGAAAGCCCAATCAGCGTTGCCATACTGCAGTGAGGAATCGTGGGAGTAAACATGATCTTGACCCAGTTCTCATCATCGTTGACCTACAATAGAAAAATGAAGGAGAAAATGAGAGCAAAAATTTCCTGCAACGGTGGTTCTACACTAGGGAGGAGTGATATTATTAAATTATTGTTATTAAAGTCAATTTATATAGCGCTCATTTCATAAAAAAATGTTCAGGAGTGCTTATATTTAAAAAAAAAATATGAGCCTGTCTCACGATGCTATTGGGTTATTCCTTCTGAGAAGACAGAACAATCTGGGGAAATGAAAACATAACTAGCAGCTGTCTAGCCTTACCTCAACCTGTGAATGTGAAACAACATTCAAATCTTCTAAGCTGTAGGGGTGTTCAGGGTCACTGATGTGCCTAATGAGATGTGCAAAGTTGGTCAAGGAATAAACCTGATTTCAAAAATTAAAGGCCCCTTCCCCATTTCCCGAGGAGAATGCTATCTCAAGAAACTACAACCACAAAACAAAAACTAAAAAATCCCCCCCCAAAAAAAAGATTAATAGGAACCTTGCCTTTTAATCAAGACAATTGTTTCAAATGCAACTTCTGTATCTTGCTGAGGAAACTTGATTAGAAAAATTTGATAATTGTGGCTTTAATTCAAGGATTATTTTAAAGGAATCTTTCATTGAGTTTGAAGTGTAGTGTCCTCTCATAGAAAAGTACATATTGATTGAATGGAGTGATTTGAAAAACAAAAGACAAAAAAGCCATAAGGCAAGCTAATGGAGGCCATTTTTATAAGCTGGTGCACAGATTCTAAAGAACAAATTTCGAGGATAGAGAATAGTATTTTGATATCGGTATATTATTTTCCAGTGGATCCCAGACTTTTACAAATAACAATCTATTTTTCCATTTTTGAATCTGAAAGGTCGACTCATCTGAGAACCAACTTCTAAAAACACTTTCCCTTAACCCAATCACACTGACCCTGGTTCCTTGTTATGTACGGCATCAGGTGCACTTGTAAAGTCCGGCACCCAACAGACGGAAGTATTGTCTACTGATGAGTTAAAGTATTCCCCCCCCTCCCGCGATGATCATTATGTGAGCAAATGTGGTCAAAAAAGGTTATGATGAAGCTACAGATAAGTGGCTGCAGACTTACAGATTAGGCCTCTGATAAAGATTAGGCCTCTGCACGTCGGCGGGAATGAAAATAATATAGAACATAGGTATTTTAAAACAAAATTGATCGTTTTGTTTGTGGACTTTACAAGGTAGCTGTGGGTGATTACACAGCAGGGATAAAATAAAAACAGTATTGATTTATAGAGTCACATGTAAAATAAGCTTCCAAAATTTCTTAATATCATTTATGTCCAACAACTCATGAAAACTCACAAAGGCAATTAACGTGTATGAAATAGACCATGGAGGAATGTTTTCTTCCTCCATAAATAGACAAAACATCGATATGGTTGCCTAAAAGACATTTTGGAGTAATCTCTACAGAGATCATTTTGTTGAAGAAGCGTTCAGACAGCGAAATTAAGTGCATATCTTTATCTTCCTTCGCATTTATGGGGTAGAACTCTGATGGCGACGTTTAGTGCACACTTTAATCTGCTCTTCCAATAAGGGGGCAGAATTCCAACCACGAAGTTTTGTGTATAATATAATCCACCCTCCCACTAAGGGGGCAAAATTCCAACAATGAAGTTTTGTGTATAATATAATCCACCCTCCCAATAAGGGGGCAGAATTCCGACAACAAAGTTCAGTGCCTATTATGATCCGCCCTCCCAATAAGGGGGCAGAATTCCAACAATGAAGTTTAGTGCATACAATGATCCGCCTTCCCAATAAGGGGGCAGAATTCCAACAACAAAGCTTAGTGCGTACAATGATCCACCCAACAAGGGGGCAGAATTCCAACAATGAAGTTTAATGCGTACTATGATCCACCCTTCCAATAAGGGGACAGAATTCCGACAACAAAGTTACTGTACTTTGATCCTTCATTCACATACCTAATGTATTTGGCAACGTCAGCGCCATCTACATCCGTGAGAGAATATAGTCTGACTTTAACTTCGTGATCAATTACCTATGAGATTCATTGAGGATTTGTGAACGATTTAAGTCAGAATGTGAGCACAGGCACTTAAGCATCACTTTTTCGTATACTTCAGTTTCATTTTACGATATATCGCGTGAAACACCTTCTATGGCATAGTATTATTCATGCACTTGCAAGGCGGCTTTCACGCATGCATGCTGAGTAAGTTGTGGCCCACACAAACGACTCCACAACTAAAAGATTTAATGTAACTCGGGCATTTGAGCACCGATTTGACCGATCAAAGGGGGAAATGTGGTTTCATGACTGGTCAAAATGGAATGCTACACTAGTTTATAGCATAGTATGAAACTGGACATGTGATGAGAAAACTAGAGGCAAAGCCCACTTGCCACGCGGTCAAGCCAAGGTCGAGCCCCGTCTGCAGTTTTGCACTTAGCTTGTAACAAAATCCCCTGAGGGCTATAACAGTAGCTGATAAAAGATCCTCGGAATCCTGGTTGGCCTGCCAGAAAACCCGAATTCAGGCTGCTGAACTTGGGTTTTCTGGTAAATGAGAGTTCACAGCCTAGGGGTTCATCATGCATCCACCACATTCCTAGGTGGGATACAGCAGCAGATGAACCTCATAGTTCTACGGGTATGTAGGCCTTATGTGAAAAAGCAATTTATGTATATACCCCAGCATCTAAACACAGCATAAACATCTCTCCAACTTATGCTGGGCATACCCAATTTAGGCACTATGCAGGTTGTGACCTATAGTAACCATCTAGCTGCAGTGCATGACAACCAGTCAAGCAGTGCTAACCCCAGCTCTTTGCTGTCTGAGCCCGGCGGAAGAACCCGAAAGTTCTGAGGTAAGCTAGCCCCACTAGTGTGGCTGTGGTACCCACACTAATGCTAAGGTAAGCGTTTATAAGTATATAGTTCTATGTGGTCATTGTGGTCATGACTAGCGGTGGTAGGCCATGTATGCCTAGGTTGGCATGGTTGGTCTAAGCATGATCCAAGTTACTCGGACGAGGCTAAGCCTAAACTAGTCACCGACGTGACACTCATCCATGTCATCATGCTCATGTCGGGATCAGGTCAACTCAGACCCAAACCAACTTGGACCCATTCCAACTCGGACCCACCTCGAGTCAACTCGGACCCACAGAGTCTTATGGTTGCACTACACCAAATACGCGCCCATAGACCAAAATAGCACCGATTACTAAACCTCGCGAAGAGGATGGTCTTCATTTTTTCACTGGAATTTCAAGATATGGCCAGATTGATCACTTTTCATTTCAATTTTATGAATTTATTTTATTCTCCTTTTCCCGAAGATACCCCCCTAATAGTAGTAAAACTATGCACTCAGCTCTGAATGTAGCTGCCCATCTCTATTCAAAATAGGCCCGCAATGTGGGGCTTTTTGAGAAAGAAATGCTCTGAACTGGAAACTATCAATCCCAAATTCTGGATTTATATAAATAATTCTATAATCCCTCGTGATTATGGCACGTCTTATTGTAAAAAAAAAAGTGGGATCACAAAATAATAATGAGCTCGCAAGCAGAAATACAACGCTTGAAAACCGTCTCCAAGTTTAACCCAATAGGAAATATTCCACATTTTTATTTTAAAATGATTTGATTTGTGTTGTTCGAAATTACCAACCTATTTGCGTTATTTGGACAGTCGGTTTAGGCCGTCATGGATGAATTCCTCCTCAAAATCAGTCTTTGTGGTCAATCACGCCGGTACCTCGGAAGCCAATAACCGATTACGATTCCAGATTACAAGTGGCAAATAAGACATCAAAGGAAATGTGCCTCCATAAAAATAAGATGCTCGTCAGTTACTTCTCACTTCCAAGACATCACTGATATCAAATCCAGTCCTGTACCATTTTTCAACCACCATGCCAGTTCAAATTCAATTTTTACCCAATGCTAAAATGTAAAAGTGGACAAAACAAAATTTTCAACAAGTTAATCACGCTCTTGGGGTTGGGTCCGAATTGGTCGTGGGTCCAGGTTAGTATTGGACTATTGGGTCCGAGTTAGTATTGCTATTGGGTCCGAGTTAGTATTGGGTCCGAGCATGGAGGTAGAATCACATCTACCTCCATGGTCCGAGTTAGTATTGGGTCCGAGTTAGCATGGGTCCGAGTTAGCATGGGTCCGAGTTAGCATGGGTCCGAGTTGGTTGTGGGTCCGAGTTGGCATGTGTCCGAGTTGGTTTGGGTCCGAGTTGACTCGAAACCCTCATGTCATATCAATCATGCATGTCTGTGTCAGTACCAGGAGTACTGCACAAGTTAAAACAGGAATGTCACCGAAAACAGAATTAAGAAGGATATCGAAAATTTCCCTGGCATCAATCTTGTCCACGATGTCATCATTTTCCTCGTCTACGGTGGGTTCTCTCTCGGCTAAGCGCCTGTGAATGGTGGGATTCACGTTCTCGAGTCTTTCGCTGGCCGCCATGATTGATTTTACTGCATGTGCTCAAAGTGAATGCTTTGCAGTGAGGTGGAAGCTGATACGCCCCATCCCAACCAAGGCATCAGTCCCAAAGTACATGTAAACGGTTGGGCCGGCGCGGTCGGTCCAAAAAACTACAGCTCTGCATGCGGAGCTAGCTCTGTATTATGGTGTTCCATATGTGCCATCCGGCGTTGCATTTTTCAACCGCCGTCGCCTTTCAATGTGAATAAGCCATTAATCATAAATGGTCAACCTTGGTCCAGCCGGACCTGAAGTTGTTGACTTGGATGCTAAAAGTGTGCGTACATATTTCTAATGATTATGGAAACGGCTAAATTAGCATGTATGCGTCGATTAACTATATGTAAATAAACAGCCCTTTAATGAACCCGATTAGTCGTGGAAGTTCACCTCGCTCAATTTGGTTTCTCATTTCTACAAGCTTTTTGAGTGAAAAATGTCCCCGTACTGATGATTACTAGTTGCCACAAAAATCGAACCCCGTATGGTAGGCCCATTGTTCACCCTGGTTGGTATGGTATTTGCCATCTTGCAGACATGCTTCCCGAGGGAGCGTTTATCGCAGTACAGTCTATATTTTTAAATGTAACTACTCTTGGCTAAGAAATGTCACGCACCATAACTTGGAGATATTTTACGTTTTCTTGGTTGAAAGCAGCTGTCAGCAATACAAAATCACGCACAGTATTCCGAAAATACTTTTTGAACCATGAAAATCTGTCCAGAGGAAGCTAAGACTGATCGTATTTTTTCATTACAGTAGTAGAAAGGTATTTCGCACACTTGAAGTTGTTTAGGCAATGGTCCGTGGTTCAGGCATTCCCCCAGTGGAGGCCGTCTAGTCATGGGCTTGAGATCATTTATCTTTCTTGGGGGGGGGGGGCTTGTGTTTATTACTCAACGGAAATGACTTCCCAAGGTCTAGAGGACTACATGTGGATTTTGGTTTGAAAAGTGTCACTGTTTGAAAAGGCTGTTTCGTCGTAGCTGCTGCTTCTTGATTGACCCTGGGGTTACACGTACATGTAAATGCGTTTCTGTCTAATTTTCTTTTTTTCTGTGACAAATGTTGCCGTACGTGTGAGAATCTCCACAACAGATAACTTCATTCTTTATTAGACTAGTTTTTGAGTGTTTTATAATAAGCTGGCGGTACCGGTGATGGACAAGATCCTGGCCTCCATACGTCTTTCCGATGAAGTAATGAAAAATGCGACGTCCAGTCAAAAAATGCGACGCCAGTTAAAAAATGCGACGGAAGTCGAAAAATGCGACGCCGGTACGGTTGAAAAAATATCAAGCAGCAAAACCAGAACTTCTGCCTTCGTTTGCAAATATTCTCCTAACTACAACGAATATGAAAATGAAACTTACACCAATGGAAAGACGAACATACGACCTTTTAGATGCCACCAAGATTTGCAGATTTGAAAAATTTTCAGTTCTTTTATGAGGCGATATATGTGGTAAACGTTCGACGGGAACACGACCTGTAATGTGCAGACGAAGTGAGATTTCCATAAAAACAGCAAGCAGCAGAACCAGAACTTCTCCCTTCTTTTACAAATAATTTAATACCTACAACGAATATGAATATGAAACTTGCATCAATGGAAAGAAGAACATACGACCTTTCAGATTCCACCAAGATTGTCAGATTTGAACAATTTTCAGGTCTTTTAGGAGGAGATATATGAGGCCAACGTTCGATGGCACATATCCATATGTGCCATCGAACATATGGCACATATGGAACACCATACTGTAGCGATATTTTACACAGCGGTCCATTTCATTTTATATCTATATTTTGGAGGTGAACAATCGAAAATCAAAAAACCCACAAAAAACATTTACAAAAGGCAGTAAGAAAATCATTAAAATTGGAAAAACATTTAACTCAAGTAACACCCCTGCACGATTGAAAAAGGTTACTCTCCTAATATAAGCTTGGCTTAGTAGCCGAGGTACTACTTGATAATTTAATACGCAAGCTGAACACCCAAACAAAAATTATTTGCCAAAGTCGTTTTTACACCAAATTGTGCTTGCAGAAACGAGCTTTCATGCCATAGATGAAGTGCCACATTTAAGTTGAATTATGTTGAACGTGAGCTGCATATTTTGAGGGGGAATTGGCCGACAAAATTAATAGTTCGGCCACGGCGGAAACTATAATTGGGATTGCGGCTGTAGTTGGGGAATAACAGATACACCTCCCGTTGAAACATGCATTCTGGAAGTGACAAGATGGGTGAAGAAATGGCGGCGAGAGGAAGCAACGATTATGACGAAGATGTTGGTAGAATTCAGGTGACTTTTATAAGTTTTTTCTCGAGTTTTGAGTTAAGGTATAAGTGTTGCTCGAGTTTTACTTTGTAGTGACAAAAAGCGCATAAATTTTTTAAAACATCAAGGGTTTACCAAGACAAGAGGCTCAGGCTCTAGGCAAATTGCTCATACCATACTAACACAGCAGTTGAATGATCAGATGATCGTGATGATGAATGTGATGGAGGGAGGAGGAATTCCCGGAGAGGGATGTGACTTTAGTAGCTACATGCTTCATGTATATATACAGTGTACTTTTACATGCATGTTCATAATTTAGATTTGTTTTGTTTTAGTTTTAATTCTGATTCTGTTTTACAAATAGTCATGATAGTTTGAATTGCTTACACTGAATCAAAAGATGTCATTCATTGACTTGTTTTGTTCTTCATCAAGTTCATGTGGTCACAGCATTCTTGTCCTTTAGTCCAGTTTTGCAGTGTTAAGTTAAAGCTAGGCTTTTTCTTAAACTTTTAAAACCTCAAAATTCATCATACATAGCCTTTAAATTTCATTTAAAACAAGAACGCAGAAGATGTATTTGTAACTTTTACTGATGGAAGTTTGACTTAAACAAATTAACTAGCTGTGCATGCAAGAAGTACATGTAGCACAAATTTCTGCTGAAGAGAAAGGACCAAGAGGCTTGTATCCCTTGCAGTTTGGGAATGTACCATGAATAAATCTCCTACTTTCTCTCTATAGAAAGCTGTTGAGGATCTCTATGCCTTCAGGGACCACTTCTTCGAGAGGAACAGCATTGACCGAGCCATACACAAGAGTGACGAACTTGGCCAAGAGCTCAAGAAAGTCATTGAACTCTTGGATGAGTTACAAAGTGAATTGACCTGGTCGATAACCTTTAATGACAGACTCATAGAATGGGCTCAGTGAGCTGTATATTATTGGGAGCTTTGTACACGCTTTTTAAAGGAAAGGAAATGAAATAGACCACTGAAATTAACCTTCGAGGGGAGTTGCTTCCATTATTTTAAAAAAATTATCAACCCTTGGAAGTGACCCCCCCGACCAACCACCTTCATTTTTTACATCTGTGAACACCAGTTTCAAATGTTCTTAATGCAGACTTTTTTTGAGGCAGTTCTGGAAAGTCATAAGTCTAACTGCAAATTTGTTAATTCAACAGTGTCTGGTCATCTTTTGGCCGTCATGTGTGTACATGTACGTGACTCATTTGTTGACTCATCCAATTTTCAGAATACTCCACTTGCAAGGAGGCTAGCATTTTTGTCAATTTTCTTTTCTCACAAATTGAATTTCTGATTGCTAAATATCTCTTCACGTAGACCAAATCAAGAATCGGTCGGAGTACATGCTGCAGCGAGGCAAGGCCCTCAACGTGATGCCAGACTTCAGCCCAGAGGCCCTGGAATGTCTCTCCAAAGCTGTCAAATTGGATCCCAAATCAGTAGAGGCATGGAACCAGCTAGGAGAGTGCTACTGGAAGAATAAAGACATTGAGGCTGCACGGAACTGCTTCACTGGTGCCCTGAACCATGTAAGGATAAAATATTCAAACATGTGAAGCCCACCTGAGACTAGATAATTTAAATATCTGTATGTTTTCTTATCCTTTGATTGAATAAAATAGTTTATATTTTTCAAAGACAAAAAGAATAATTGGAATGATTACATCATTTTTGTGCAGGATTAAAGCAAATTGTACTTGAAATACAGTTGTCTTCTTTTGTAACATTAAAAATGGTCTTTTTACAGAGGTTTTAAAAGACGTGTACTAGTAACATTTTAGGAAGTACACAAACCTGTATGTCCCTTCACTGCCCCCATCACAATTAGAAATCTTGAATGGATTTGCATACACACGCAACATCGCCACATGTCAGAGAATTTGACTTGGAAGACAAATTTTTGACTGACATGCTGGTGATATCATCTTTTGATAGTCAAGGAACAAGGTATCCTTGAGGAATCTCTCCATGGTGATGAGACAGCTCGGGAAAACCCAGGAGGAGAAGGCAAAATTCATCCAGGACAGCGTGGATCACGCCAAGGAGGCTGTCCAGCTAGACTACACCGACGGCACATCATGGTGTGAGTACTGGCATTCTGAACCCAACTGTTGGATCCTTGAGAGTCCACCTCAGGATTTGGGAGGAAATTGAGGGATTGTGGAAGGCAGATCCCAGCCATTGCACTTTACTTAAGGGTTAATTTCCTTTTAAAGTTGAAGTTAAAAAAGATGTGTCATTTGGCTCCTGCAGCTGTGAATGAAGATTCACAGAGGCTCTAAATATAGAAAGGCCAAAGGAGTTTGAGTAATCAATCAATTTACTTTTGAAAGTGTCAGTAAAACTTTCTTAAGGGATGATGCAATACAAACCCATCTGCTCTTCCCTACTGCAAGGTTACTCTGTAATTCAGTCATTTATTTTGCTTAAAAAAACACTGTCTTGTTTAAGATTGGAGAACTCTGCAGCCGTATGGAGAACATCACGGTCACAAAAAGGGGCAAGAAAGGAGAATGTTCATGCTAAAAGTTTATTTCCCACCTGGCGTCCCCTCCTTCTCTTTGAGAATAACTAGTGTTGTGCACATATGCCAGTTGCATTTTTTTCATTGTGCAATTCCAAAAGTCAAGTTTCAGTATTGAAGGTTCCTTGACCTCTTTGTATTCTCTTCCCCTTCCCTGTGCATGCAGTCATCGCAGGCAATGCGTATTTGACAGTTTTCTTCAACGGTGGTCAGAAAGCTGGTGTCCTGAAGCAGTGTCTTGGAGCATACTCACAAGCGGTGAGACATCAGGCTTACAACAGATTTGTTTTAGCAGAGCATTCAAAACAGCAGTTTCAAAATGATGTACAAGATTAAATTTGCTGAGTTAGGTGCTTTGTTCAAGGGCTCATACTTACACATCAGAAAATTTTCTGTTGTACAGAATTTATTCAGCAGAACTACTAAATGTGACCCGCTCTGCAAACAAGGTGTATTAAGTCGCACAATGCAAAAATGCGTAATGGCCCATTCCATGTGCCGAGGGTGAAAATATTTGGAAATTGCTTGACCAGAAAGCCTCTGTTGCTAAGGAAAACCAAGAGAGTGTCAAATTTAAGTTTAATGTTTCTGTTTGTTATGTTTAAAGGGCATTATCTCAAAAGCATGTGTGATAAAATGAAATTATATGAATACGCAAATGGCAAATAACTCAAAATGCAAAATACCTCTGGGATGAATCATACGTCAAATGAAAGCTTAGGATGTGAGCAATTTGATTATATAAATAACTCAAATTAAAAAAAAAAGTGACATAATAAACCTTTTTGCAGAGCCAGTCACAAATTTTGACATTTTACAGTGTTTATTTTTATGGTAAAAACTGTTTTTAAATGAAACTCTGATAATTATTTGTTTGCTTTATCTCAGGAAAAGGACATGATACAAAGATCTAATCCTGACCTTTACTTCAACAGAGCAACAGTAAGTTTAACTTTTGTTACATGTTTTCTGCATTGTAAACGTTGCCATTGTAATCTGGAACTAATTAAATGTAGAATGTAGAGACCTTGTTTCCATGACGCTTTCTGTGTCACACGTTATCCTCTCCTGTCCAGATTTTCAAGTTCCAAGAAGACTACAAGGCATCGTTGGATGGCTACCGGATGGCTCAATCGCTAGACCCCACCTGGCCAGAACCACAGGAGAAATTGTCAGAGCTTGTCACTTACCTGCAGAATGTTACACAGTTAGTTCAACAGAAGGTGAAATTACTCAAATATTGAATAGAAGTGTAAAAATGAAAGGCCACGGGAAACTGTCAGAAATCCAAATATAACTTCATACATTTTTCTGCTGTTTCAGCCGGCATGCAACTTATCCTTGGATCCACTGATTTGTTTCAGGGGTGAGATTTGTGAGGATCGTTCCTGATATCAGGATTTTTTCATCTGGATCTTTCAGATTTCAGTTTTTTCAAATAGTCTGTTTTTAAAATCTGGAATATCCCAAGTTTACCACTGTGAACTGTTTACATATGAAAATCGAAATAGAACACAAGAAATGGGCATGTAAAGGGCTGCTTTTAGGCAAACACAACTGTAGGCCAAAGATCTTACACTGCTGTCGTGCCCTCAAAACGTCTTGTGATTTTTTCGTGGATTTTTAATTTTTTCCACTTTCACCCCTGTTGTTTGCTTATAACTTCCAAATTGCCAAACACTGTACAAAGTCAGAGTCTTTTGTAGTTTTTCTCTGTTATTTCCCGGACTTCTCAGAAATTACGTCCACATCAGCAGATTCCAAGCAGTACACTGAGAATAAGAACGAAAATGCAGGTGCTCATTTTCCATGAAACTAAAAGGAAAACTACCTGTCAAAAAAAATATCAATTTCATCGGTAAGCCCTCTAAAAATACAATGGCATTATCATTATGTACAGGGTAAGCTAAAAGCCAAGCGTCTGCAGCAGTTGCTAGCATCAATCAAAGAGAGTGACCTGGGCCCCTTCGGTGGGGGTTCCTACACCCCACCCAAGGGGGATCCAGTCAAGCTAGAGCCCACCTCTCTCTCCAGACTAAGCCCGGGAGCAAATCCAGAGAAAGTGGTCCTCGGTAAAGTGGTGTGCAGCGTGGTGACCGATGAACCCATACCTTTGTAAGTTGCACAAATCTGTTGTTCAAATGTGCCCCCTTCTTCAGTGTTGAACAACACATTGTGTTCTTGAATTTGGAATTTTTGTCTGTTTAATACAATTTTCCCTTCTCAGGACCATTAGTGGCTATTCAACGTTAGGGCTACAAGAAAAATAAATTGTGGAAAAGCTGGATTAGAGAAAAGGAAGGCACGTGCGCAGTGTAAAAGATGCCTGTTCACGTTGCACTGACACTAGGATGTGTTGTAAGCAACTCAAAACAGGATGCAACTAAGAAATTCTGGAGTGCATGAAAAGACACCAGTCAAGTAGATCTTGGAATTGTGAGTACGGAATTGTGACTCTACACGATTCACACGAATGCCAACGGATGAAGGAGCAGGTGGTATGTCCAACAGTACAGTTGTGAGGATCAACCAGTGAGAGGCTGTTTGAGCACATGCCATGATAAAAACAACAGAAGATGCATGGTGAGGGTGGGGAATCCCATATTGAATGTTATGTTTGTAGAGGTTTTCCTGCGACATTACGTGATGGGCAAGAAAGTATACCATGTCCGTGGAGGCATGTGCATTTTTGAATCTGGGTATTTCTATTGGTAATTCCATGTAAACAAGAATGTTAAAAGACCTCAAAGGCGCACGCGTTTACATGCACATCTGTGTCAATGGAACTGCTGACCATCAAAAATCATGTGACTGAAAGTCCCCTACAAGCAATAGCAGAGAATAAATTTTATTTTTAAAAAATTGTCGAGTAACTCAATAGGAATCTTTTGTATCTTTTATTTTTAAACAGCACATTTGCAATATTGGATGCTGAGGGATCATGCTTTGCCGTCAACATTTACAACATTGCTAAAGGCCAAGGGGTGATCATTGGCGATTCTGTGGCCGTCCCTGAACCATTCGTCCAACACAATGACTTTGTGTTTGATAAAACAGTAAGAAATTGATATTAATCTGTTTTTAATACAACTCCATTTCATTTTTCACATTATTTCATGGTGTGACATGGATATTTCCAAACTGGTTTTCGTTCATTCTCTGAGGTCTTTAGGTGTTAGAGCTATTTAGGGGCAGACATTGATTACTGCCGGCTAGTGGCATAACTAGGGTGGATTTTTTTTGAAAGGCTGCACACATATTTTCCAAGGGGTTGCCAAAAGCACATAAACCGTGGCTTTAAGTTAGGTACATCTTAAAATTTCAAATGGGAAGAACGGGGGGGGCACAGACCTCCATGGGGGGCATATAGTTTTGCCACTACTGCTGACAAACAAAGAAGTTGAGAACTTCAGTGACAGTTTGAGATGGTTCCTTGCCAGGTATCCAAGATTGGTCTCTTTTTCCCCATGCAGAATGTCAATTTTTCAAGCATCCGAGTGGACACACCTGTGGCGCTGGTGGTCAACGGCAAGAAGCTAGGACTTGAGAAGCAAGCTCCTGCAGTGGTCTCGCTGTATGCCAAGAGTGAATGAGCTTAGGAAATGCTAGCCTCCAAACTGTTGCTAAACTGCTGCGTAGACCCTTTGAAAACAAACAAGAGCACTGAGTTGCCTTAAATAGTGTGGGTCAGTGAAGGGATGCCACATTTCACTGATTCAGGTGGCTTTCTCACAGTAGCAAAATCAGTGAATTTCCAGACCAGACTTAGCGTGACAACAAAGTAAAGTCGTACACACGTAGCTTTGGTTCTAATCCTTTTGTTGAAGGCTATTTCTCAAACTCCCATTTTTGCCGCATCTTCAGCGCCAGGCTTCAACAAGGTCCCCAACTTTGGAGAGTTTACAACCTGGTCCCCAACTTTGGCATTTGACAACAAGATCTTCAACTTTGGGGATTTTAGCTCAACGTGGGTTGTGCTTTTACTTCAAGAACATCAACACAGTGTGATTTGAAGAGGTCTTCAGATTGGTTCAATCAAAGCCCAACAAGTGCTTTGGGCTTTAGAGAAATATTTTGAAAAGCATTGACTTTTAATTATTTATTTGCAAACCATCATATTTTTAAAAATTTCATTAATTTTTTACAAAAGAAGTTTCAGTCGAAATGCTAGAGTTACTTCAGTAGAGTATTTCAGTCCAGATTTTATCACTTTTGCCAAGAAAATCATTTGCATTGTTTAAGAATTTGGAAGGGGTGCACTGCATAGTTGGTTCTGTAGGTAATCCAGCAATTTGGCATTTTAATCTCCTGTTAGAAATAAGGCTATCAAGGGAAAATGTCAAGTCATTCCGTTTTTGATACTCAGCAGACTCATGCGAGCTTTCCAATGATTCGCTTTCCATCCATTTCATGTTCAGTAAGTATTTACTTGATCAAATAAAACTGAAGTTTTACACATGCAACAGACATATCGGGGCCAACAGTGCACTCACACCAAGGCAGCTTGATGATGGGACTTGTAATGTATTCTGATATTGGCAAAAACATTTTCTTGGGTGAGAGGCAAGCTCGTTGCTGCATGATGCGTTGTTTGTATATAAATTGTTCAAAGTGTATATGGTTTCATGCAGGATGTATAACACTGTTTGAAGTTGTGAGATATGAATAAACTTTGCACAAGCCATTGTTTTTTATTTTGCATAAGTTACCACTTTTTATTTTTGTCTAGTTTTGGTATGAAATGAAGAGCCAATTTACTTCAACTATTTTCAGTACCTCTGGTGATGCAGTCACAATGATAATGCCTTGGCTATCAATAAAAGGGGGGCAAGTGGTTAGGGTCTGTGGCTTCCAATCATAGGGTCGGGGGTTCGAATGCAACTGCTGGCAGTATGTTGTGGCCCCTCGTAAGTCACTTCACCCCTGCTTGCCTCTCTCCACCCAGGAGTATAAATGGGTACCAACATTGGCTTGGGAAGCAACCAGCGATGGACTGGCATCCCATTCAGGGGGAATAGAAATATTCTCAGCCGTTTCATGCGCCTGATGAGCCACATTGGTTATAAGCAGACTTGGTACTTTTAAAAAAAGAATTTTTTTAAAGTTCCAATGATATCATTACAGAGACTTAATTTTACAAATTCACACATGATTTTTTTCAACAAGTTCACATCATGTATGTTTCAAAAAGAGAACACCATTGGCCACGAAATGCAGTCTTGTGGGGGGAAAGGTATTTCAAGACATTTGGTATTTCACAGATGAACCAGATGTCTACAACTTCTGGAAATCAAATAGAGACAACTTGGTGGATCGAGTATATAGTAATAAAGTATTAACTGAAAGTTTACATTTTCCGCTTAAAGACTAACAACCTTTTTGACACTTGGCAGCATGCCAATTGCACCATCTTTGCAAATTGAGTATTCAAACGATAAGTGAGTAGTGACAGCATGAGCAGTGAAAACGGTTGTTTTTAGAATCGGATACTTGTCTATCGGCAATGTTCAAGCTAACGTACAGATAGCGCTAACAATAGAAAAGACTGTATTCGAAGTCGGTTCCCAATGAGTCAATATCTCTCAGATTAATTTTTGTAACTACATTAATAATTGACACATGTCTCAAAACTAACATTAAAGCAGTATGTGCTCTGTGCAAGAACGCTAGATGACTTGGTGTATGTCTCGTGACGAGACATACACCAAGTGCACCCGACCAATGTTCAACAGAATGTACACAAAGCTGTTGTCTCTATGTAGGAGACAAAGAGACCCGTCAGGCACGACAGAAAATGGCACTGTTGTTGGTTTATGGCTCCTGTGGCAATCTAAGTGCCCTTTGTGCCAGTCACTATATAAAACTCACATCTATGTCGTTGAGCCAATTGAGTGGGCCAAAACTGCATGCATGTGGTTATATGGTACTGTAATAACAGTACCGTTTCATCGTTGCTGCTGAGAGAGTACAGTTTTGCTTAAAGTCTGTACTTTACTGTAAGGTTAGAACCACAAAAAGGAACAAATCAGAGCCACAACTATATACCAGGTATTTGAAGATTATTATTATAATGGGCTTTCTCATTAATACAGAGGATGACTTAGTAGGAAAACCACTGCCTTTTTGCATTCCATATAAGTCATCAAAGCTCAATTGTACGCTGAAATTTATTCAAAAGTCCACAAGTAAGTGAATGATGCTGTCACTATACATGTATATACAGCTTTTGCTGCAGCACTGCAACAAAAAATGTAGTGGCCGACAGGCATACGTACCAGTACTTAAATATAAATACAGAACAGCCACACTGAAAGTAACTGACCGGGTACCAATGAAATCATTTAAGCAGAATATTCTTTTAGATCGACAAATCTTCTGCATTGAAGCTAGCTGCTCTTTACTGAACTACCAAACTGCGTATCCTCCGGAGCCAAATAACAGCCTGTGTGATGGTCTTATCAGCGGACTTTCTTTCTTCTCACATCTTTTGCTGTCTTGGCACTCGTTGAGATCGCCTGTGCCGGGTTGCCCATTTGTTGACGAGTCGGGTCATAGCTGAAAGTCTGGGGTACAGGTCCAGTGCCGGCCTCTTTCAGCTTCTGCAAGTGAGTCTTGCTTCTCTGTTCTACTTCATGGTTTGTCTGAGCATTCTTCCACCCTGAATATCAACAAGAAAGACACAGTGAATTCACAATATCTGCACCCTCATTTCCCAAAAAACACTCCACTGCTTCCGTGCCATTTTGAGAACTGGTGGAAAAAAATGATAATTGCAGGGGTATCATAGTCTAGTGGTCTAATAAACCAAATTTAACTTGTGAGAAATGCAATAGCTAGTTGGTTTGAATTCAGGCAGGGTGGATCCAGGCGAGGTGGATTAAAATACATGTCCTCAGGCAAGACCCTTTACAGCAACTGCTTCCCTGCAACCAGCAGTAAATTGTTATCAGTGGAGGAAGTACGAGAGATGGATTCCATGCGCATCATTAATGCTCTTAGGGTTGTGTGCTCCCTAATGAGAAGAATGGTTTACACACTTGATGAGCAGAAGTCATAATGTGCTCTCAACGATGCAAATCTAAGAATAATAAGAATAATTGAATTTCTTTATGAAGATAAAACACCCCTTCCAAAGTCCTGCATCAATCTATTCTCTCTTCCTTAGCATTTTTGAAGTTAAAAATACAAAACTGTGACTTATTTTCTCCAAAATAATATTTTTGGGGGATGGGAACCGAACTGTCACTTGCCTGATTTCATACTCTGAAGGAATCCTTCCGACTTGGGCAGGTCTTGTGGGTTATGCTTTATCTTCTCGGGAATGTTCAGTTTGGTTCTGACAGCCGGGATCTTCAGGACAGCCACTTGGCCCATGGAGAAGATGTTGGACGTCAACCAGTAGACGAAGACAGCCTGTGATAACAATTTGAACTTCAGTAATACTGGAGGCACCTTTGTAAACACAACAAGCACTGTAACAGCTTGCTTAATAACGCTCTTCTACCGGGCAGCAAAGTCTTGCCTTAATCAAGGTCTTTTCATGGGGCTTCAAAGGAAGTGACAATTGCTTCCTATTTGTCAGTGAAATGTTGAGAATTCACGGAGATTTCTTGCGATAATACCAAGAAATTCAAGGTTACCTCTGATCCTCAGGTATTAAAGCTCCCTGTTGAATCCAAAAGCAAAATTTAAAGTCGTAAAGTGGCTGGCAGAATCCATCCTTCTTCCACGTAGCAGACAAAGTCCAAAAGAATAAATTATCTAGAACAAAACTACTCTGTTCCCTGTTTGTCCTCGAGAAGATGGAAAAACCCTACCTTTGGCATGGATGCAATTAATGGCAGAAGAACAAACGGCATGATCCGAAAAACAGTCTTCATCTTTTGCATCTGAGCACTGGTTACACCGGCCTCCCCACCAAGCTACAAGGCAGGGACAAAATTAGGGAGAGAAGGCTTTCCTGTCATGCTATACAGTAAAATCCTTGTGAAGTTTGCTGTCAAAATTTACTGGGGGGGGGGAGAGGGTTGTTATATCATCACCGAAACCTTGAGAAAAGACTAAAATACGAAGGAATGGAATCTGGCATAAGCTGTTGAAAATTTTAACGATATCCTGCTGGAGAGCCCGTTTTCAGGTGCCAACATTTTTTCAGTTGTCAATAGCAGAGGAAATCCGTCATTGTTTAGAAAGATTATGCCACTGTTTGTGGCAATCAGCATGAGGGGATTACCACCAGGGACAAAAGCACTCCAGCACTCCAGAGATGAGCGATACAATACCATTGCACACTAATCTGGCCCGTATTGAAAAGATGCCAGACGCACACTGTGCCAGTTTCTAGAACAAAAGAAATTTATGTAACACCGCACAATCTGGACTCTTTTTACAAGGTGACAGGCCTGGCTGAAATACTCTGGCATCAATAGATTTTGCCTGTCTGATTAGAGTAGCCACCAGACAAACACTCCATGGGGTTCAGGAAAAAAGATAAGAATTTTTGAAGATTTTTGATAACCGAAGATATTGAAAAATCGCCCGTATGTAAGCAGTGCATTTTTAAAAGCACCCAGCAGGAAATGGTTAAAAGGCAATGATCTCAGAAAGTCTGGGGGTCACAACTTTGAAATTTTTGCCAGAATTAGACACAAAGGGAGTGTCAGAAAAGTCTGAACAAGTAGATTGACTACTGGGTACACTACCTGCTGAAGTTGGGACCACCTGCTTCTCTCCACTAAGAAGGGACTTAGAATGCCACATTCTAACTGAAATTGGAACAATCCATTTCCACCTTGCAACACACATTTTTAAATACTCTTTGATCCCCAGTGGTTATGTCTGAGTCCCTTCTAAAAACCACACAAACAATCAGGCTTTTGCGACTTCTCCTCACCTCCAGCACAGCCAGCATACTGAGACTGGCCAGCACCGGCATGACATAGTAGGGGTCACTGGTCGTAAGGTCAGTGAACCACCACAGACCGCCTGTCGTCATGCTCTCAACTGGTAGGTTGGCCATTCTGCGCAGGCCGATGAAGAAGGAGATGAAGATGGGAGCCTGTGAGACAGAAAGGCGGGACGGTGAAAGCAGAACCTACAGGGAGTCTCCTTGCTAACTGTTGTTTTAGGTATCATTTGGGAATTGAATTGAGTTTCAAATCAATTAACAGAGAAAGTGGAAAAGAAATAAATTACAGAACTTGCTGCCAATCTCCAAAGAGAACCAAACCTGTGTCCAAGTTTTGCATTCATCACAAGTTCATTTTGAGTAACTCAATTTTTGACCTTTGCATTTCATGGGTTCAAGGACCCCAGGGTGCAGATTTTCTAAGTTCAGTGTCTACTAACTACCTTGATTCTCACCTGGATTAAGATCCCCATGAAGCTCTTCAGAGGATTGACGTTATGCTTCTTCATGAATTTCTGCACTTCCATACTCCTTTTCATCACTACAAGCAAAAATATCAAGAAGGTAACTCTAAACAGTGACTGTAAAGCCTGAAACCCCCTCAATCAATCAATTGTAGTTAAAGTGAGTTAAGTATGGAGCCTGGTTGTCCATTGCTACATTTAACAGCAAGTGCAGCAGCATGCTCTGAACTTCAAGATAAAAACAGATCAATTTCTTATTTTTTTGACCTAGCTCTGCGTTGAAGTTCAAATCATACAGCCTTGTCAGATATTTAGAGCACAAAGGGCAATAAATCTAAAAGCATACATCTGATACCAACTCAAACACTTGCCCCAAGTACCCTGTTCCAACATCTGATTTCTTGCAACTTTTTGGTGAGTTCAGGACTCTGAAGCCCAACCAAAGGTCTTTTAATAGGACGGGACTGACGGTCCAGTTGTGTAAACTGTGAATAATGCTCATGCGGCTTACTAACTGACTAAGGTGCCAAAGTCTGGATGATTCAGGCAGCCTGCCTGGGCAGTTGCAGTTAGTACAATCAATGACCCTCTCTCTCGTCCCTGCCACTTGAAGAAATCATACATACTTTCTGCCTGATTGCCGCTTTGTCTTGCTTCAGTCATCTTTGCTGTCAGCTTTTGGAATGTCGGCATGACGTTGTTCATAGTAACTGCGTACCGCTGATTCTTCACGATCAGTGGAAACACGCACATTCTGGCGATTACGGTACCTGAGGAAAAGAATCATCGGCAAAATCTCAAAGTAAAATTCTGCTCAGAGGGGCAGATCCATTCTCTCTGTATTCCCAGAAGGATCACTACTGGATCACAAGTCTGTGTTAAACAACGTCACAGTGCAAGACGACAAAACAGGCATTGTGAGTTTGACCTACATGTAAATAAACCCCATCTCAATCAAGATGTTTTTTCTTTTATTCAGTAAAATACTAACATCATCAGCCATGGCCACACACATTCAACATAAGTTCAATTTAAAAACTATTTTGATTTGCTCTTAACATGAAAAAATAGTGTTCTTTCGTACAAACAATATAAATCAGAGTAATTAACTTTTTTTGTTGATTGGCTAGGCATATAGCTACAAGTTCGTAACTGAGATTAAACACATGATCTAAGCAAAAAGGCCAAGTGAAGGAAATCCATGGGATTGTTCTAATATCAACCTAACTCCCTCAGAATTTTGCTTGGAACATCCCTGAATCCACTCCAGTCCACTAATGTACAGTGCAGCATGTTTTTTTCTTTGCTTGTACAGAACCAGGACAGCAAGATTCACATCAAATGTTAAGCAGCACCTCAGATGTGCAGTCCCAAATGCAACATAATACTTGCGGTGGACTTTGGGGGATCTGGAAGACTGAAGGTTAGCATGGATTCGCCTGCTCACCTGTTGCAATGGCAGCCCACCACGGCAAGCCCACCGACATGTGCAGGAACTCCAGGGCATACTGTACCAGGCCTACGGGTAGATAGCCACCAAGGCCAAGCTCTGAGAACGGGATCTCCTTGACTGGTTGCAGGATCTGCTCTGCTGTCATTGCCACCTCAACGGCTGTGGACGGGTCGGTTAGCGGAGTGGCTGCATCTGTCAGCTGTGCCAACCACAGGGAGAGAAACGAGAACTCCAAGAATTAAAAGAAATCATATTAAGCTGTGGACATTGACTTGTTAAGACACAACTAGATGCAACCAATCTGACATTAAAATTGAACCACCACAAATTTCAACTTGAGTTTAAAGTAATATTTAGTATTAACAGCCAATGGTGTGCCCCGTCCCAAACTTTAAGACGTCACATATTTCAATTACCAGTTTCATTAATGCTTCTGAGAAAAAAATCTCAGGCGTCAACAAAATGTGTAGTACACAAAGTTAACCACAACATAAGCGACCTTACATTTTGTGTGACTTGTGTACTTTGTCCAGTGTCTGTGCTGTTGTGTCTGGCTGTGGTGAGGGAGGCCCCCGTGGACGGCACAAACTGCATGGCCTGCCATCTTGAACAGGGCGCTGTTTTCGTGAATCTGATGCCGACTGCTTGTCTGACTATTCTGTGGCAGCAGGCCTGCGTGTGAATGCCATGCTACAGTTTGGAAAAAAGGAACTATCAGTTATCCAATGATCATGTGGAACTGGCTCTGTGTTACTCCGTTCGCATGCAGAGCAAGTTCAATTGTAACAAGGGTAGTAACTAAGTTCGGCAAACAAATAAGTCAACATGTTGAATGCATTTTAACCATTTAACTGCTAAACAGGTGCTTGAGAAAGGTAAGGCTTTGTAATTTTGAACTTGGTGGCAAACTGACCGAAAGATTCACCCAAAATACTCCGAATGTTTTGGTTTGGAGACTAGACTGAACTAGGGATCAACCGATGTTGGATTTAATTACCGATCCGATCATTGGTTGATCCTCAAGCTGAACTCCCATAAAACTAAAGGTGCGCTTTCTTAACAACCAGAAACATGTTTCAGCTTTCATCAGAGGTAAGGACTTTTAGTGATATCAGTTAAGCGTGCGTGACTTCACTGTCCCAGCCAAAAGAAAAACCAAGGTTTAAGTTAGTTCAGCACTGGTTCAATATGGTGGGAAAATAAGAGGACAATTTTGTCATCTCCAAAATAAGTGAATCATGTAGCCCCCACTTTGTTGATGCATGCAGCAATACAAAATGGGTACTACGTGGAAGGGGAGGGCAGCAGGTACAAGAAACTTGCTGAATATTGAGTGAAAATGTCATCTATCAACAATGTCATCTGTTGCCTGTTGGGCCTTAGTTTGTGTTTTACACGTATTTTAATTTTTATGCTGCAATGTGTTTGCTTGGCCTAGGCCTACATGTACATCATCATCATTGTTGGAACTTAACCATATGTGTGCGAGAGGGCGCTGTTCAGCATGCTACTATGTGCAGTTTTGTGTGGCTGCCATTATGCAAGGCATTTTTCTCCTTTCCGAGGCTAAAATAAACCAAATTTTCTATTATACGGGGACCATTGTTGCCCGACTGGGTAAGTCTGTTTTTCTCATAAAACATTAATTACGATCAATCTGAATTATTTTGGAAAACAGAGCAGTTCTAGGAAACTCACATTGAAAAGGAATTTATTCTGTTTAAAAACTGATGAATATATGGGGCTGCCTGTGCTTCACCTATGTACAATCATGACTTTTAGTATTGGGGATCTGTTATGGTAAATCTGTTATGTATTTACCCAAGTTTTAACCTATGTCCAAGTATGAGATATCTGTACTTTATATAATTCTGAATTCAGTTGGGGAACTTTAGGGTTGGGTTATTTTCGTTAATTAGGCCTAACCTATCACACTGACATGACTGGGGGATATATTTAATAGGTCATTGCTTTGAGTAAAGTACAATGCCTGTTAGGTTAAACTTAGCATGGTGTTGTTCATTTTACAGGCTACAGTGTGAGCTGTACACCATCAACAACCGCCATTGTTTTCTGTTGTTCACTTGGAAGAGCTTTGCACTTTAAAACTAGCTGGAACCTGGGAAAACATTGTCTGGTGTGCCATTCCTGAATGTTGTCTGTCTTTATCAGCCAGCGGTAACATCTATTCTCCTTTAGCCTACACCAACTGAGGGGGTGCAAGTGCCTAACTGGACTTGTTGGAGTCAATCACAACCAAATAAAGCCCAACCAGGCACTGGTAACTCCACAATCATGTACACAAATATGACAAACATGAACGGTTCGCTTGTGATCATTGATCAGGCATGTCGGGTGATAATAAACAGCCTCTTTTTGCCAAATTTTGGTCAGCATGGTGATGGTCAGGGAACCGGACAGTAAGAAACTACACCTAGATTCTGCCATACCTGCAACAACATGACATGACATGAAAAACAAACCTGTCGATGCACACGTACGCGCGTACATGTACATATACAGTGATATACGCCTGCACTGCATGTGGGGCAGCACGCATGGCCATGGCAATGGCGAGTCATACATCATCATGATACAGTCAACAAGATGTCTGTTTATCGATGCTTAAGGTGAAATTCTTTCTGTGCAACGCACCACTTTTATGCTGATTTTAACATGATTAGGTACTAAAAGTATCTGCAAATACGCACCTGTCTACTGCATGAAATTATACCAACGATTCTTGCATAGTTCTCAGCACGACGAACATTCATGAACGCTGCCATATTGATACTGCCCTCCAGTGACACAGATTTGTAAACTCAGGTTTTGGCACACCCCTGTATGGTAAAAATAGATTCGCCGTGCAAATAAACCGTTGAGTGTAATTCATTTTGCAAAGGTGATGAAAAAAATATATATGTATTAGATATTTGCTACAAATAATAAAACTTCATGAGCTTAAAGAAAAATCAAACTGATGATTTTTTAAATGTTAGAATCTTCCACTTTTTGATTTGGAGGTGAGGTAATGTTGCTCTGCACAGTTGTACAACTCAGCAGCGCGCGTACTACATGTACATGTACATGTACACTTCACATGTACATACTTGTAGTGTACATGTACAGTGTACATGCACGACTACAAGTTACGCACAGTTAACTTCTGTTGATGAAACTGTACGGTAACGCACGTGAGTTTTTAGTAAGGCTGTGACTGTGAAGTGAGCTAAAAATTCACTTGTTTCTCATGCTGAGTCCTGGCTGAAGTTGCCGATCTTTCGGGAGCTCTGCAGCTGTACAAGTCAACAGACAAAATCCATTCGATCACTTTCATCCTGAGCCAGGAATCCAACCCCTAAAAATGACGACAGTCTTGAGAGTTCGACGCAAGCGGACCAACGATCCGGCCGAATCACTCGTGTTCTCGTGTAGCAAGAAAGCACGCACGACAGACGGGGAATCTACGGGTGGCTCGGCGTCTGCGAGCAAGACATCTGCCTCGGTCGGTTATGCGACGGATGATGAAAAGAAAGTATTCAAATTCGCTGGTACAGTGGGCAAAAAGGTAATATGAATTATGTTGTCTATTTTCTGTCCATGTTTCTCTAAAATTAAATCTTTGATAATTTTTTTTTGACATTTTGTGTGTTTAAGTTTTTACATTTCTGTAAATTGAGGGAGGAAGAGTACCTCCATGGTAAAATGAAAACATGGTAAACAGTGTCTCCAATCAGTTTAATACAAGTTGATGACACCTTCATGCCTGTGAAGCATCAGCTTAATGTGTTTATTTAAACAAATCTTTGTTTTAAAAACTTTTTTTTCTTGGTTCTCTTTTCACCCCACCCCCCAACATAAAATGTCAATAATGTGTGTAACCCCCCCTACATACATTACATGTGTATATATGCACCTTCAATATACATGTACATGTATGTACGGGAACAGGTGTTTATGTATGTACGGGAACAGGTGTTTTGTACCTTGGACAACTCGTACCATGAACTCAACATAATTGCACCAACTTGTACCTTTGCCGAGTCGTACCTGGGCCAACTCGTACATACATACCTCCAGTATAGACAACTCATACCTTCATGTACGAGACAACTCGTACCTTGGTTACAAGTACCTTGCGTGGAGCTTATTATTGTTGCAGTCATCATGAACAATAATTTGGTTTTTCATTCACCTAATTTGCTGTTTTTCGGCTACACTTTCAGGAAGCCGATGTGGTTCTACGTCAGTCTTGTGCGTCAGGCCTTGGCAACGTGTGGTGCTTGATATGCAAAAAATTATGTTGCCGCTCTGTATCTCTCCGGGAGATTTATAAAGGTGTTTTCTTGAAATGTTTGTCAAATCTGACACTTAAACATGTGAACAACGAAAAGAGAAAAAGTTAAATGAATTGCAAACCTGAAGGTACGAGACGTCTAAACTCATGATACGAGTTGCCCAAGGCACGAGTTGCCCAAGGCACGAGTTGACTCGAAAGCATATGTACTACCCGCACATCTTACTCAAAAAAGTCTCCCATTGGCCTGGTCTGATGAGGTTCCATTTATTGCACTCACATCTGAGCAAAGGGGCAACCCCTCCGTTCACTCTGTAAAAGGATAACAAATGTGCATGTTTTCCTTCTTTTTGCTGCAATATGATAAAAATAACTGAAGTCTTTTTGTATAGGAGATATCCATAGTACATGAACAGTAAAATTTCAAGCACATTGGATGTAAAAGTTAAGAGATCAGTCAATAATTCAGATTTTTCCCATAGACTACAGCCCTTTGAGTCCCAAGTGTGAAATATGGAACAGCCACCAACTGACCAATTAGAGAGAAGAACCAAGACTCAGTGATGTCATCCCAACCATGAGAATGTGCGATACTTGCCATCAGCTGGCCCTGCCTAAACCTGGGCAGACACTTTGGGCAGACGTCGTCCCATACACACGCAAAGGAATGAATGAAATATAATGAAAAATGTAAAAATGCCTCATTTGCTTTAGTTCATGCTGGGACACAAAACACTAAATTTATTCTGTAGGCCTTAATTGTCTTTTTTTTTTAATAGGTGCTCATTCAAAACCTTAAGGAACGTGTACGAAGTACTGGACATGTAGTCTTTGTCCAGAAATAATGATAATATTGGACTCATGTTTTCATGATTTGTGTATGGAAATACTTGGAGAAGAAAGTCACTGAAAAGTGACTTTGCAGTCAACCATCTTTATACATCGTACATACATGTACTGTACAAACATTAGCCATAAAGATAACACTGCCCAGCATTGGTACATGTAATTTGTTAGTGCAACATGCACTGTTTTGATAGAAAAACCATGAAGTACAATTTCTACACAGATCAAAGATCTCTCTACATCTGGTGATTCTTCAGGATTTGTTTTTCTTGTGCATTTATCCCTTTGCCCTCCCACAGGTTCAGCTTTGTACTGCATCGCTCTATCCATTTGGTCAGTTTTTTCCAAAGCAGCTTGCAACTACATGTACATGTAGATTTCAAAAGCTGCTCAAAATTCAGTTATCATTTCTCTCTGAGTACATGGTGGTAGTAAGAAAACAAAAAAAAATAAAACTGTTGTACAGGTACATGTACATGTACATGTAATTTACACATTGTGTGAAAATAAGAAATTTTAATTCATCTTGTAATTGCAAGATGCTCATTACTATTTCAAGTTCAAGGATGATATTATTGTTTGTTGATGTACCGGTGTTAATCATGTTAAGTAGCAGATTTATTTTACCACCCCACAGTCTGATCCACAAACACTAAGTTTTTGACGTGGCTTTAAACCTGGTGAGTCACCAATCTCTTTTGAGAATGACATCACGCACACATCCATGTGTTGTCTGTAAACTCAGGAACATCGGTGTACAGCACCTGAGGTGTACCGGTACAATGTGAATAGTATATTTCTACTGGTAACATCAGTCCATGATCGTGAAAGAGCATCAACCATGCACATGAAGTTATGACAGGTCACTACTCCTGTGGTGTGCTAACTGTAATACAGCTTTGGAAAAAAATTTTGTCAGACAGTTGCAGTTTCAAGCGTCCTAAGCAGCATCAACTTTACCTGACCTTTCAACCTGTTTTCCTCTTGGTACTGAGCCCCCTTTCTATGTTCAATACCCCCTACAATTAATACTGAGGTGACTGGGGTCCCTTTTTAAATGGTTGGTTTTTGTAAGATAACACCTTAAAACTGATGGGCTCGGCATTTGACCCTTTTTCTCAGCATTCAATTCAAATAACCCCTGCACTTCCACAACTTTTGCTTCATTAAATTAAAGAAATCTACATGTATGTTTATGATTATTACTAGTCTTCTTGCTGCAAAGAGTACATTTTTTTCCTTTAGAGTTCCAGTATTTAATTAATGATGCAGGAAATCTTGTCTTGACAATAACATTCTACAGCAGTCACGTTTCCTTTTTTCAGTAGGAAAATTAGAATGGAGCATGTAGTTTATGCCAATTTGTTTGTATTGTTATTTGTTCTGTGAAGATTAAAAATAGATACTGTACATGTACTTTTCAATGTAAATAAAAAATAACACGAACAGTATGAGCACATGTATGTACTATGTAAACTGGTACATGTAGGCACCTGTACATTGTATGTACAAAGTACATGTACATGTATGCTTTGGACATTGGACCTTTATGTACCAGAAGCACTGGTTGGCTCTTCGGATCTTGTCAGTTAGTTGAATATCATAATCATAAGCAGATAAGTTGCGATCTCTTGATGCCCCTCAGAAAGTTATAACAATTGAACTCCATTTTTCTTGCTTCATCAATCAATATTTTGACAATTCTGTCTTGAAAGGGTCGCACCTTACAAGTTACAGTGTGTCTGACGGCCGCTGGTTTCCAGGTGTATGCACGTACACACACATTTCACACACAGTTTCTCCCCATTTCCTTATAGTCTCTAAACATCGCCAAATGCCATTTTATCATTATGACCTACATGTACATGTACAGGTATGTACATGTAAATGTGATAAAAGCTGTCAGAAATTGAAATACAGTACATGTACATGTATGTAGAAAAGTCAATTGTGCTACTATATCGTACTACTAGCATACTCACCCATTATGTATGTTGGTATTAATACATGTATGTAATGTGGTAGAAAAATAATGTTAGTTTTTCATCCCTGCCTATGTCATTTTTAAAAATTTTTACAGTGTTCCTTTGACAACATATACAGGATTATAGTACATGCAATTGTATACGTAGACTGTTTGAACAATACCAGATGGATGAACACTGTCGTAGCTCTTGGAATTACGTGGCAGATGGCTATGCCATTTGGGACATTAACAAAGCAGTGACTTTTTTTCAAATTGTTCGTATTCATGTTCATAACGCACCAAAAACCTGCACACATCTTGTTGATAAAGTGGCGATTTATCCCTCCTTGTCTTAAACCTCATTTCACCTCAAATAATCTGCTATTTCCTGTGTACTTAAACCCAGGCCCATTCAGAATCCTACAGTATTTGGATTGATTCCTGTGCTCGGGCTGAATTGACCTCTCCTATTGGTGCATGGACAAAAGAGAACAAGGGCATTCCCCCTAAGGCATGACATCATTGTTGACAGTAGACAAGACAGATTGCATTGTTGTACATAGCATGAGTTGCTTCAGTGCTACGTGTACATGTATGCCCAGTGGAATACAATGCACATATAATTATCGGTACTACAGTATAATGCTTTGTGTGGTAAGCCTTTGTCATATTTTGTCATTTCAGTTCTGAGAAAACATACATGTAAAAAGCATTGTCCAAATAGTGTGTCAAGGATGAAGTGTTTATAATGACAGGAAAAGGCTGAGTTTTATGCAGGCTTGTGTTATAATAATTGGAAGTTGGAATACAATGTATGATTCAGAGTTTGTTGGGAAGCATTTATGCAAGAATTTGGTCAGAAATGAAAGTTCTCCAAATGAAATGTAAATGGCCAGCAAACATGCTGGAGACAATTTTACACTTGGTTTTAATGTGAGGACCTTGAAGAAGGCTGTAGTACATGTGTATGTTAAACCACAGATTAATGTGTCTCATTTCATCATGGTTAAACATTAACCCCAACCCTAGCCCTCAGTGTTTGTTGATGTTAGCCTTGACTCCCTGGGCAGTTTTGTGTAGGAACTGAAATCCACCAACACACTGTACATGTACGTGTACTCTTTGGTCTTCAACCTACATGTAGAAGGGGGGCATAAAACCCTGCTTAAAAATGGGATCTATACATTTGAAGTGAATGTTCTGTAAAATGTGTAAGGCTTGTTTTTGCTGCAACTTTGGTGAATTGTGCAGATTTGAATGACTGACTTGTCTGTTTTAATAGAGTAGCAGCTTACAGTATAAAGTGAAGAAAAATAATGAATGCTGCAACTTTGAAGAGAAAAAAATTGACATTGGAACAAGCCAAAATTACCTTAATGCATAGTAACAGCAAAATACCGGTAGCTTTTCACAACCAACCATCACATTTTTCCATTGAGAAAGGTTACATCATTATTTG